ACCGACCGATGGGTAAATATTATTTTCAACAATAGAATGTGTACTTTAGCCGAGGGTGCCAAGTACAGCTGCTGTCTCTCTCCATCCTGGTCAAGGTGGGGCAAATACATCACACAAGGCAGCTGTGCAAGACCAGTCATTACGTGCGACATGATATGAATAAATAACCCTTCATGTTGCACTGCATCCGTCACACCGGGTACTGTTTATGAAAACGCAAATTGTGACTATGTTATCATGGAGTTCCCAGGAAACCATTTCTATGTCGGATGTTCTAGAATATATTTTTTTAAGACAGATATTTGTACATCCATATGATATAATGCTACTGTTTCTTTTCTTATAAGCAGCAGAATCTCTGCACTTGTACACATCAGACGTAATTAGAAATATACATTTCGTGTTCAGCTTCAACAAAATCAGAGGGGCGGCCGGGTAGCCTAGTGGTTAAAGCGTTCGCTCGTCACGCCGAATACCCGGGTTCGATTCCCGACATAGGTACAATGTGTGAAGCCCATTTCTGGTGTCCCCCGTTGTGATATTGCTGGAATATTGCTAAAACCGGCGTCAAACCATACTCACTAACTCAACAAAATCAGTAAATGCGTTATCCTGTAACTGGATTTTCTGATCTATCACTTGATTGTCAGGCAACAAACAAACACTTACCATTTTCTGCAAATTGTGTGAGTGGCAGGTGCTACCGGTAGGGCAGGAAATGTTTACCCTTTTGGGGAAAACCTAGTGTCATCACTGATTTTCAGTGATCCATTCACTTAATTTCACTCCTATTTTGTGCATTTTACGCCCTGTTTCGGCGGATAATCGATACTGCTTGTTTTCTGGCGTTGAAGTTTTATACATAAATTAAAAAGTATGCAAACATTATCTCTTTCCGTCGATTAGCTTCCGTGCTACTAAGTAGTCGAGGCGTCTACACGACGTCTCACCAGCTACTCCAAGGCCAATCAAATTAAAGAAAACCAGCGGAGAGCTACCAAACTATGGAATATGTACATAAAGATCACAACCTGCACGGTTACATCTGCGTGATCTACTGTGTTTCGTTCCGTTGAGAATGTGCCGGTTTCATTACGATGCAAACTGTATAGGGACTGTGTCTCTGTAACTTGTGTGGCTACTTCTATTTAAAGTATGTACATATTCCATAGTTAGGTAGCTCACTGCTGGTTTTCTTTGGTATGTCTGGTCCCTTGAATTGTAATACCGGTCGTCACGGGATCAAGGAATTAAGGGGCAGACTGCACAACACAGCCCGTGAGTCACAAGTTTACTGCGTTAACACGGGTATTGCATCGACATAACTATGTACAACGCCTTTAAGAAGTTCAGTAGCCCAGGAACCTTGCAGGCAATACGAGAGATATTGCGGGATCAGCTAACGCCGGGGTTTTGCTCGACGAGCAGACGAGTCTACACGTGAACTGTCTGACATATCTGAGTAGTTGGTTATTTTACTGACGCTTCACTCAGTATGTACACATCGTCCGGGCGTATATATATCTCGGAGCTGAAGCATTGTGCCCACTGAGTTTGGGATAATAGACCGGATACAGCCGATATCACATTGGTGATGAGTACAAGAAGCGTAAGAATCCCATGGAGGCTGCAGGTGAGATTATTACATATAGTTACCGCGATATATATATATATATATATATATATATATATATATATATATATATATATATATATATATATATTAGCGGCTTTCAACTCTGTACCGGCAGCATCTAAATCAAAGAGTGTTAAATTAATACTGCTCCACAGAAAAACGTCGGTGCTTAAGAACTTTCGCACTGAGGATGAAAAATATCCCAATTAAATCCCGTGATCCCAATTACTGCTTCAGACCTCCTGCACGGGATCCGAGTGTCGTTTTATAAACAATTAACGACGGATCCCTATGGGCCACTAGCAGAAGCACCAGCTTCTTGCACAGTTAGTGAGTGAGTGAGTATGGTTTTACGCCGCTTTTAGCAACATTCGAGCAATATCACGGCGGTAGACACCAGAAATGGGCTGCACAGATTGTACCCATGAAGGGAATCGAACCCGGGGCTTCAGTGTGACGAGCGAACGCTTTAACCACTAGGTGACAACATTGCAACGTTTGTAAGGCAATGTAGGTACGTTTGAAGATCTGTTTTCTCAGTTGCATGTAATATACAATCCCAGGCTCAATCTTAATTAATGACAAATGTTTGTTTCTTTTTTTTCTTTTTTTAACGCCGAACTCAGCAATATTCCAGCAAAATGACGGAGGTCTGTAAATAATCGTGTCTGGACCAGACAATCCAGTGATTGACATCATGAGCATGCATGAACCAAGTCAGCGAGCCTGACCACCCGATCCCGTTAGTCGCCTCTTACGACAAGCATAGTCGTCTTTTACGGCAAGCATGGGTTGCTAAAGACCTATTCTACCCGGATCTTCACGGGCCTAATGGCAAATGCGAAATAATTAGATATACATGTTATCTTTGGGGCTTTAGACTAAGGGAGATGAGGCCGTGACTAACGATAACTAACAATGTAGGAAGTGAGGAGTGGCTGCTGTTAGAGATGTCAAAACGTTAGCGCATCATGGGCAAGCTTTGGATTCCCCACATAACTGCAATGTGTGGAAAACACCTTGATGGGAGTAGTCTCCCTCACTCCATTCTTGGCATAAGGGCGTACTATGTTTGGAAAAGTTGCAATTATCTGAGCATGAATAGGACCGTACGAATAGAGGGTATCTCTGAAATGTAACCTGGGGCGACCATTAAACCAAACTGATAACATGAGAACAGCACCAATTATTTTTAATTCTACTTGACCATCAGCGTGATTTGGAGAACTTGCTTTGCTGATATTGAACAAGAGGATCCTGCATATTCACACATTTCTACTTGTCCTCATGATACCTTAACTATTTGGCAGTGTGGCAAAGACCACAGGACTAGTGCCAATTTCTAAGGCTGGCAAAGTTTGTACAGTGCTCTACACTTGAAAAGACCTTTAAATTCAATAAACTACCTTGAAAAGGCCATGAACTTGGCAACCATCTTATACTGCTTTTCCAGTGTAAGAATGGCCCAATAAACCTGTTTGAAACCACACTTTGTTCATATTTGTACCTTTGAAAAGTGTGATCACTGCCATAAGTAAGGCCTCAAATTTGGTGGCTCAAATTTAGTGGGATCCATGTTTCATCTTGTCTACAACAATAAGATTGTGTTCCTTCACACTGTACAGAGGTAGTGTGTGATGCCAGGCAGGCAGCAGTATTGTAAAATATATACCACTCAACATGTGATTTGGATACTTTCTATTTTTCTATGAAACACCAAACTCATAACTTAATATGTAAGTAGTATGAAAATAGTTAAGAAACCTCATCACATGTTGATTATTATAGTATTGCATGATTCAAGAGTAGAAAGAATCTTCTTTAAAACAATATTGAGAGAGAAAGGATCTTGAATAAAATGTGAATCAAACTTCAAATCTGACGAAAATGATGCTGTTTCAATGATGATAGTGTAAAGTAGCACCTGTCCTTAAAGCTGAGGAAATTTTCTTTCATTTTGTCCTTATTCAAGAATTGGTGTGATCAAAAGTCATATCTCTATTATATTGAAATAGTTACTAGTGCCGTGGAATTTTGGTGGGGCCTTATGTTGGTCTCCTTTTTTCATAAATTGCATAATAGAAAAAAATGAGTATTGGTCATTTAGGTTTTTAGCTTGAGGGCAACTGTCCCGTGAAGATTCCGGGTTAGAGAAGGTCTTCAGCAACCCATGCTTCTCATAAGAGGTGACTAATGGGATCGGGTGGTCAGACTCGATGACATGGTTGATGCATGTCATTGTATCCCAATTGTGTAGATCGATGCTCATGATGTCAATCACTGGATTGTCTGGTTATTATTCTCGATTATTTAAAGACAACCATCACATAGCAGGAATATTGCTGAGTGCGGCATTAAACAACAAACAAACTAGAGGGATATTGTCAACAAAATTGTGGTAGGCCAACAGTGTTGATGATGCTATTTGTCTATTAACTACTAAGTTATATTTCCCTGATAACTAAGGTGAGATGAGGTGAAATGGTGTTTAACATCGCATTCAAGATTATTTCACTTTATACAGTGACATGAACACCTGTGTTTGTGTGGCTGCTTGTACTAGTCCAGACTTACGCCGGTTTTATAGTATTAGGCCACTGAGATACCATTCCATAGTTTTTCATGAATACCCCACTCAGACCTGTATACCGACTCCAAGTCAACCAGTCCCTGTTTTCTTCATGTTCTTCGCAAAATGCGTTGTAATTAGTTTTTTAACTAAAAATAGCTGCGAGCATGTGTCTGCAGCTAGGTTTCCTCTTGAACCTACTCTGAATCATAATACGTAGTAAAGAAGTTTCCACCGATTTGAAGTAAATATTCATATCGTATCACGACACCTATGTATCGTGATATGTATCATATCGTGACCTTCCTGTATCGTGTCACCCCTTCCTTATGCTGAGTGCCAGGCAGGGTAACATCACACCATCTGATCGTATGATGTGGCCACAGAACAAACCACCAACCTCCCGCTCTGTAGGCAGATGCCCTATCTACTACTCCCCTGAAAACTTTGATTTCAGTCAAGTTCATGTAAACAGACACTTACAACTCTTCAACTGTTATTGAATTTAAAACTATGAAGACACAACAACATGAACTTACAATTTTAAAACTGTAGACGAAAACTGAAGGTGTAAATTAATCCAAAAGGAAAGCTCCGCTGGGACGCGTCCTTGATGTGGTATGCCAAGCAGTGATGTGAAGGTGACCTTAGGTGTCATCAAGGTCACAGGACAGCAGCGGTGGTCAGGAAAAGTGGGACTTCAGAACAACAACTGTTATTTCTTCACCCTGGACCATCGTTGTTGCGCTGTCCTTCTTGTTGTCGTAAGGTAAGCAGTGAATGAGTAATGCAAGATAAATAAAAAACATACAATTTTAATATCCATTGACGATGTAATGGCAAACTAAAAAGGCATTAAAATCCTTGGTACAATTTTTTAAATCTTCAGTCCACATATGCCAATGTAGAAAAAACACATTCCATTCAGACATCCAATGATTGCACTTCTTTCAGGTCTTCCTTCAGTATAATGTCCATTCCTTCAAACAGGTAGTATCCGTTAAACTTAGCTTCCTTTAACATGAGGGGGAACCACTGCTTGTCATCAGGCCACATTATGTCGTACGGTATCGAGTCAATGTTGTACCACTGGGGACGCATTTCTGCGGGTAGAAAAAAAAAGCAGTCTTAAATCCAAAATCATTTCTTGGCTGACAGCAGGATAATCATGTGAATCAACATGTTAGATATCAGGATTGTTTTTGCAAACTAAACACTTAAATACATGTATATACATCCTGTGAACACTGATGTATTGTGTATAGATGTATATAGTTGACATGATGTAGATGTCCATTGTCAATACTCCACCATTTTGTATACAAGAACTTCCTCCATCATAACGGTTATATTGAAAATAGGAATCAAATTTAGATTGGGAACATGAATGCATTTTGAGAGAATTGAGAGCATGGTCAAAGTGCAAAGGAAAAATCAAAGTAACAAAAAAGAACAAATATGCCCACTTCCAACTGTACATAACCAGCTTTCATTACATTCTAAAAAAAGAAATAGCTGAGTGAGTGAATTTGGTTTTACACCGCTTTTAGCAATATTCCAGCAATATCACGGCGGGGGACACCAGAAATGGGCTTCACACATTGTACCCATGTGGGGAATCGAACCCAGGTCTTCGGCGTGACGAACGAACGCTTTAACCGCTAGGCTACCCGACCGCCAAAAGCAATGGGTGTGTAGTGGACACAAATAACGTGATATAATACGGCATGCCCAGTTTCAGTATCATCAGTGCACTGGTTTGGGAGATGTTTATGGTGCATGATGACGGACAAACAGACAATGACAGAAGCTCACTTTCAGTCAGGCGAGTAAAACTGAAAGCAACTGACCTGAGGTCTCTGTGGGCTCTCCCGCGTAGTCCCGGGTGTGGAACACATGCACCTCCAGCCACTGTGGCTTGCCAACAAACTCAAACTTGAGGACACCGATCTGCTCCAGACTGTGAGCTGTCAGTCCACTTTCTTCATTCAGCTCTCTGAAGTTTAACACAGCATCATAAGCATCAACCAGAATATTGTGGTTCTTTCACAGAAAAAATGAAAAACACTGGGTTAACTAGATAACATGACCTAGAAGAAACCTATGACTGGTTCCTGCAGATAGTAGTGGTGGGACATCGGTGTATCACAATATTTTACTTCACGATACAAGTATCTATCACAGTCACATACTAAATAAAAAATATTGATTCATACCTTAAATGTTTTGATCTGGGGTAGAATAGATCTTCAACAACCCATGCTTGCCGTAAAAGGCGACTATGCGGGATCTTGGTTGATGCATGTCATCGATCCCAATGCATGAGTGAGACGTTAAACAACAAACCAACCAACCTTAAATGTTTACTTTAATGGCTATTACACAAAACAAAACAGCAGTATTTAGTAGTGAAAAAGTAATTATTTTCATCTATTGCGCCATTCTTGACACTGCCAACTGTAAATCTGCTAAATCTTGACACTGCCAAATTTGACTATCCTGCCTATGAAAAAGATGGCTTACGCACCACAGACAACAGCATATACAAATATCGTGATACGTATCTGAACGTGAAAAAATGCATGGTTATACGTATCGGATCACACAGTTGGTGTATCGTCCCATCCCTAGCAGATAGCCAGCCAAATGTAAAGATGCTCTACCTTTCTTACCATATGACCTGTCGGATGCAATGATCAATTATTAGTGGTTTGCTTGTGAGAAAAGTATTATTCTGAGGCTCCTAATCAGGACGAATCCCAGTACTATGGCCTACCTAAGGGACAAAACTCTGCAAACAACTGGGTCATCCAAGTCCCTACATGATAAAGACTATCCACAAGCTATTTACCTTCACTGATATGATGTAGTTTTTGACTGCACACAATAGACAAATAGCAGTTTTCCCAAAAGAATTAGAGGGTGCTCATTATACTCATGTGCTCACTATACACAAGTCAATATGATATACTGTCCATTCTTACCCATAAGGGAAGCTGGATAGATGGTACTAAATATTCTGTAATGCTCATGGGAATTACAATTTTTTCTATAAATAACTCTGCTTTTCATTGGTCGCCGGTACTACTTTTTTATTTGTTCTTTCTTTCAATCTATCATCCACATGCAGATATGGAATCAGACGTCGCATTATTTTGGCTTCTGATTCCGAAAATACAACAGCGACTTGATAGATAGTCTCTATCATCCGCCCATCCAATATCCAGTGGTGGCATGCATGTCTGGCATCAACTTGTTCATGTTCCAAAACCTTAAAATTGGCTTGATGAGCTGCTGTAATGTTACATTACCACAAGAGATACAAATATCCTACATGTGAATGGTTATAGGGATCTATTATGCACAATATGATGTGTCGTGCCGCTTGTCTACTGTTGCGTAGGGATACATTAATTTTCGGTTACAGCTGCTAGAAATTCCGAATTTGGTTAGGGATTTTCAACACTTATGTATGGATTATTATAAATGTTCTACTGGACCAAGGAGGTGGGTAGCCTTGTTGTTAATGTGTTCCCTTGTCACGCCCAAGGCCCATGTTCGATTCTCCACATGGGTACAATGAGTAGAGCCCATTTCTGATTTTGCTGAATATTGCTGCAAGCTGGGTAAATGTAAAACCATACTCTCTAACAGTGCATAATTATTTTGTTGAAGATATTATTTTTCATTTCATGGTTTGTAATAAAATCCTGCATATCACTCTCTAATCCTATTCAGCAGAATATTTCCAACAGCTGATTCAAACAACATTGTTTTATTTACTCTATGCTAAAATATTGATTCATAATAACCTTTTGGCAGCTTCAAGAATTGTTTCCCCCTTTTCAACTTTTCCTCCAAAGCCATTCCAGCGACCTTCACCAAACCCTCTCTTCTTCAACCCCAGTAGAATCTGAGCCTCCTTCCTCACAAACACCAGTGTGAGGAGCTTGTTGGCTACCATGACTTCCTGTGGAGAAAGAGAGCCTGTTCTCAATCACTTAAGTATCAGTAATATCAGTTACAAAGTGGACTTAGGTGCCTCTTTTTTGCATAGGAATAATGCATTGTAAGTTGGTTGGTTGTTTTGTTGTTTAACGCCGCACTCAGCAATATTCCAGCTATATATGGCAGTCTGTAAATAATCGAGTCTGGACCAGACAATCCAGTATTTGATGTCATTAGCATAGATCCACGCAATTGGGATCGATGACATGCATCAACCAAGCCAGCAAGCCTGACCACCCGATCCCGTTAGTTGCCTCTTACGACAAGCATGTCATCGATCCCAATCGCGTGGATTGATGGTCATGACATCAGTAGTTATGTAAACATGATTGATTCTAGTTTATTTTATTGAATAAAAAATACATTTCAAACCTTTTCTTAAAAAATGCCAAGACTGTGAATCAGGTTTATGAACAACTCACAAATTGTTTCCTGCTTGAATGCTTTAAGTGAGACATGCTTAGCGACCAGTAAATGTTTGCTCAAATACTATTAATAGCTTCACCCATGTTTCAAAGATTGTTTGGCTTTGTTCCCATGACAACGCTATAAACAATTAACATTCATTTCACATCTGACAATATTGCAAAAAGGAACATAGAGAATTAAATACTATCTTTTTCTTGTCCTACCAACTCTATATTCTTACTTAAACAAAAACTAATAATAATTGGACAGTCTAATCATAATTTCATTTTAGCCACAGGCAAAAGGTTTGAGAAAAACTCTGTAACTAATCGATAAGTAATGAAAGGCTAAATTTCAAATAAACCCATTCATCTTTCAAATTCAAACAAATGGAGGATTGTCATTTATCAAGATTTATGGAACAGGATTATTAAATCCTAAAATCAAATATTTGATCATACTATGTCTCGACTGTACATGAATCCGTACCTGTACACAAATAAAGATATTTTTAATAGCTCATTCAAATGGGTCCGATACCTCGTGGGATAAACATGGGTAAATTTTTTTTGTTTATTTGTGTACAGCTACGAATTCCTGTATTACTGGGGTAGAATAGGTCTTCAGCAACCCTTGCTTGCCGTAAAAGGTAACTATGCTTGTCGTAAAAGGCGACTAACGGGATCGGGTGGTCAGGATCGCTGACTTGATTGATGCATGTCATCGATCCCAATTGCGTGGATCGATGCTCATGATATCAATCACTGGATTGTCTGGTCCAGACTCGATTATTTACAGACCGCCGTCATATAGCTGGAATATTGCTGAGTGCGGCGTTAAACAACAAACCAACCAACCAACCAACTGTAATTGTACTGACAAAATGTCCCAACCATAATGTGATCATTGATCGGATGAAACAAACCGATTATAACCAATGATAGATGATAAAACCACAATTGTTTCCCAACACAAGGGATGTTTATAGCGTGTGATAATTTACTGATATATCCCACGGTTTAAGAAATCGTAAAACAAGCACAATAACACATGGGTATGCTAATGACGTCATAAATAGATGCTAAAACAACTGGTTAACGGTTGATTTGCCACTTCTTTATACTATAACACCGAAATCTTACAAATTATACAAACTCGAGGAACAGGATTATCTTCGTATATTGCACACCGTGGGGAACTACTTGTGTTACTCTGTAAATGTTTGTATACGCGTTATTTCCCGCCAGCAACAACTTTATTATTTCTATCATAAGAGAACCAGTGCAAATCGGACGTGCTGAAACCGGACGGAACCCAGATAAATAAGATCTGCTCCATAACCTGATATGGTATTATAATATTCACAAATGGTCGGCGTAGCGTTCTTATACATCTATATTACCGAATATGTGCTTTAAAACAACCGTGTTTGTCGTTTGTGTCTGGAATGTTCTTTTACAAGCAGCTGCTGGGATTCAAATAGTTCTTTTTCCAGTTAATGTCAGGACAGACTTTCTCAGCGGTACCGCATGTGCGAACCGGCGACATTAGTCTTTTAAAATTTAGAAGAACACGGACACATCCAATATTTGGAAGAACAAACATAACACTTTGCAACCATGCATTTGTTAGAAAGTTGTCATCCATGCAGATTCTTCCTACTACATGGGTGGACGCCTTTTCTAAAATACTTTTGCATTTTTTAAATTCCACGTTCTTCCTATGTTATATATAATTCATATCAATCTGGCAGTTCATGCTGTTTACACAGTTACAATATCTTAGTCTCACCGCAAACAGCTAGGTCCAGCTGCGAGTTTTCACGAACTGGGACTCCTACGATAATTTGATATAAAGTATTTCTGCCTGGTCTCAGTAAAGTAAAGAGAGAAAAGAATGTAATTAAACAACAATAACTATTTATATTCCATCACTGAAATATCTTCATCCTCCTGTTCTAAAGAAAAGGGGGATGTGAAGATCCGGGTTAGAATAGGTCTTCAGCAACCCGTGCTTGCCGTAAAAGGCGACTATGCTTGTCGATCCCGTGAGATCGGATGGTCAGGCTCGCTGACTTGGTTGATGCATGTCATCGATCTCAATTACGTGGATCGATGCTCATTATGTCACTCACTGGATTGTCTGGTCCAGATTCGATTATTTTACAGACCGCCGCCATAAAGCTGGAATATTGCTGAGTGCGGCGTTAAACAACAAACAAACAAAACAAAACTGAAGAAATATGTTTACTAAAATTGGCTTCCTTATCCTTACTTTTCGGAAGAAAATGTGTGTTTTGTGTTTACTCACGAGATCAATGTTACTTGCGTTTACATTTACACCTCGAAAGAGTTTGTAATGGGTTTTTTTTCACCTTGTCCAAAGAATTTGCTTTCATTTATAAGCCATGCATTATATTTCAAAATTCGAATACGTTGTTAAATTTTAATAAACAGCGAGAGTCATTTATTGACTTGACGTGTAGTTGAACTTGAAATAGTTTGTCCAGGTATTAAGATTAAGGGGCTCCAAACATTGTTTCAGAACTGCCCTGTACGGAGAATACACATACAGTCACGTGAGATTTCATGCGCATTATTGATTTCCGGTTATCGCAGGAAGTTGAATCAGGGATGCCTCTGCCGCTTCAGCAGGGAATTTTTCAGGTTAAAACACAATATTTAGCTTAGGTTTTGTTGTGAAATTTTGAAAACTTAATTCAGAGAAACTTCCTCTACTACTTAGTTGATGTACTTGACGATCTGAACATCTGACGATACCTATTCGAGAGCGGTGTTCGTCATCATGGCGGAAAGCATGTTGGAACAGTAGACTGTGTCGACTGCCTCGTGAAGAAGGGATTTTCATTTCCTGATTAATCATACACAGCGTTGTCATTATCTCAACATGTTTACCATTTGTATGAAAGTACGTTTACTGATATGTCAGATGTCCTTGATATTGTCTGCAGGCTTTTATTTGAGCGAGTTGCCATGTTTTCGTATGTGGAGTCTGCTGTCAAGTTGAGTTTCACTTTTACTCAGAATGCAGACTGTCTAGCTTGCTCGTGGTGCTATGTTATCAACATTTATTTCACGCTTGGGATGATATTGACTTCTTATGATAGCACCTAATATAAGTTATTCTGTACTGACATTATTTTTTCATTGTTCAAATGGACACTGCCTTATATTGTAGATACCAGTACTATATTACCATGATTACTAGACGGTTTGAATATTGGATGGTTAAATAAAGCTAAATTTCACAATGTTATTTCTTACAATTGAGGATTTATATTTTCATATGTAGCTTTTTAGACTTTTTAGCATATTCACAAAATATTAGCACCACTATGCATGCTCAGCCTGTAGATGTCAACTTCCTGTGTACATGCCCTGTGTCCCCAATAAAACATCATATTTACTTCCTAATTTGGATGATCAGTATGCTTAAGAAGTAATAAGTATGAATATCAAGTTTTGGCTGTGAAACTCTTTACTCTGATTACTATTAAACACTATAAGGTTGCCACAATTGCTTGCTTGGTAACACATGGAACCAGAATTAATTATTTCTCTAAGAAATATGTATCCCTTTTGTCATTATTACCAGGATTGTCAACTGTTGCTCACTATTTTATATGAGTATAGTTGTAGGAACTAATGAATATATCATGATACGAGTAATTGATCCTTATGACTTACAGTGACTATTTGAGGGTACTGTTTTATGGTCTTCTTTATGTCAGCACTCAGTATTAAGTCGGCTACTTAACAGGGGTTATGTCAAGGACCCATTTACTTTCTTGTTAATTCCTAAATGACTGAGGCCAATTTGATGTCATATGTATAGCAAGTTTGATTCTAGTGCTTCAAACACCACTAACTTGCCCATGTTATTTGCACACTCAAATTTGTTTATGTTGAGCACATGCGATGACCCTTTTTACACAGAGACTATGTATCAGTTGGATACATTGCACTTTCATTAAGTCTAAAGGGATACATCGATTCCAGGCGATAAAGCCTGGTCTCTGTTTAAGCTGTCGAACATTGCTCAAGTTCTGAACATGCTGAAGTACCGGAGGACTTTTTAAAAAAAACAATCCAAATGATAAAGGGGGATTTAGTTACTTGAACAATGAAGTGAATGTTAAGAATTAATAGAAAAGAATTAGGTTGTTTTGTATGTATGGATGTCTTATCTCTTATGTTGCGTTTGCCTCGCTACTGTGGTTCCTTTGCTGAGTTTATCACTGTCATGTAGTCTGTCTAGGAAATGTATTCTTGTATTTGACCATGTTAATATTTGTATCGTAGCTTAATAGGGTGAACAATATACAATTCTATCACATCACTATGATTTTTACTGATCAATGATCATGACATAACTGACATGATGATGAATGTTAGAGTTTTAACATGTTATTTGAAATGTTTATTATTATAAGATGTTAACAGCTTGATCATGTTGATAACATTAGTTGTCGATCAGAAGGTTATAACATAATTACTGTCATGATGGTTTTTGCCAAGCTAACACATTATTATGGTACCATTGTAATACTATATCATGCTATATCATGTGAAAATTAGAAAAGGGGTCAGTCATTAGTATGTTTTGTTACCATGGTTTCACATATATAAGAAAATTGGATGTGTCAGGACATACACTTACCAGCATGATCAAAAGGGCTGGTATTTTAGAAGTTAAGGAATTATTATGGTTGATCACTGGTTTGAAACTGTTGAATAATCTAAAAAATAATAATTTTATAGTTTATATTATCATGATTATGACTTTCTTTGTGCATGTCGTGTATGTGCGTACCTAGTTATGAGCAGCTGTGATAGCTGTGTGCTAATGTGTTGTGTGTTTGTAGCAGCCTGCAGTGGAGCCCATGCAGGTGGACGCTGCACCAGAGGAGAATGATAATGTTGAGGAGGAGCAACATTACACTGTGGACAACCCCTCCGTGGTGAGTGACAGGAAATTGGATAAGCATAAGGCCTCACATTGTTTTTATTTTTTTTGTTAACAGATTTTCTACCTATGGGGATTCCAGGTTAGGCAACAATGCAGTTTACCGGGCACAGCCCGAGCTCTACCATCCGCTCAATTACCGCGCTATAGTGCCACCGCTGTCTCGTTATACCGTTACCGTGCCTCACGCTCTGGTGACTCTCGCTTCACGATCCAACACCCATTTTTGGTCTTAGGGAAACTTACACATGTTTACAATCAAACACCGCTTTTCGGTCTTAGGGAAACATACACATCTTTACGATCAATCACCCGTTCTCGGTCTTAGGGAAACTTACACGTCTTTACGATCCAACACCCGTTTTTCGGTCTTAGGGAAACTTACACGTCTTTACAATCCAACACCCGTTTTCGGTCATTAGGGTTAGCCTGCTTTGGGCAAGGGTTAGACATAAATTCTTACCTTTTCAAGCGTTAATCCGGTTAATCCCATTGGTCGGTCATGTTGACAAAAACAATTGCGGGTGTGGTTTCAAGAAAAGATGAATGGGAGCGCGGACCGTGACGTCACACGCATGCGCAATTCACTGTTTACTGATTACACGTGCATGTCAATGGGGATTCTAATGACCCGTTAAACGAGCACTGATTACATGTGATAGCGCCTGTGGTCCAGTGGTAGAGCGTCGGCTAATTAACGCATTATTTAGCAGAACCGGTGAGCCGGCGAAGCGCGCGTTCGAGCCCCCACAGCGCTAATTGGATCTGAAAAAGTGCGCCCGGTAAAGTGCACTACTCCCCCAGGTTAGAATTGGTCTCCAGGAATCTTTGTGACCTCATTGATTGCATGTCAATGTACCCCGAACATGTGGATGGTTGCTCATAATATCAATCACTGGATTGTCTGGCCCATTATTTACAGGCTGCCATAATATAGCTGAAATATTGTTGAGTGCAGCGTTTATCAAAATAAAAGCACACACACACACACACACACACACACACACACACACACACACACACACACACACACACACACACACACACACACACACACACACATTTTATGAACTAATATTAACCTAGGTTGGCAAAATAAGCTAAAAATTGTGAGAAGCTCCTGATCATTTTGAAATAGGCTCAGGCAAATTATCATTCCTAGCAAACTTGATTCAAGTTGTTAATCATTGTCCTAACGCCACTTTGTATCATGTGTATACTGGCTATAATGCTGATCTCACTGTTATTAGTGTTAATCATGTCAGTTATTACCCTGATTTGCATAGAGACAATGTGGCGGGTCCATGCAGGGTGCTAGCTGCAACATTTAGCATGTCTAGACCTATACTGATACCTAATACACAGCTGCAGAGCACAATACCATTTTCAAAGTACCTCTAACATGTCTAACTTGTGTCTAACATATCTTTCTCAGGATTTAGAACAATATGCCTCCCAGTACTCTGGGCTGGCCAAACTCAACAGGCTGATGTTCATATCGGACCACTGTCCGTCACTCAAAGTGGAAGCTCTACGCATGGCTCTCACCTATGTGATGACGACCTACAATACAAACCTGTATCAAGTTGTACATAGGAAGCTGCAAGAAGCTGTGTCAACGTAAGCATTTTATTGATTTCTGCAAGAACTGCATCGTAACAAGTGACAAACTTTACATTATTTAGTAAACATTTATTGCTTGAGTATTTTAGCCTTACAAGTTTACACTTGTAAATGACCCAGTTTGAAAACACAGATAACATAATACTACTAGTAATATCTATATTTAATGAATCATACTTAGTGATGTATATATCATGTATATCATGTAACCAAATTGACTACTATGTATAATAGGGGCGGTCGGGTAGCCTAGTGGTTAAAGCGTTCGCTCATCACGCCGAAAACCCGGGTTCGATTCCCGACATGGGTACAATGTGTGAAGCCCATTTCCGGTGTCCCCCGCCGTGATATTGCTGGAATATTGCTAAAAGCGGCGTAAAACCATACTCACTCACTCACTATGTATAATGAGTAGTTTGAAATTCTTGAATAGCGGATTGTCATAATTATGTTGATGTTTAACCCTGAGTGTGTGACTGAAAGTTGTTGAAGATAGAAAGTGTAAGAAGTTCACCAGGACACAAATTAAGTGGTAACCGATGTTCGATATGAAGTCCTAGGGTTCTTCTGATTTGCCTCTGTAGTTCAAATCCAGGGATCCCCCTTAATCTTTAACTTTCAACATAAGGGATCAGTCGCCTTGACTTTCATACTTAATTCTGAGCACTGGTTAGTAAGAAGACATCCAGTGATGCAATGTTCTAAATTAATGGGGGCGGTCGGGTAGCCTAGTGGTTAAAGCGTTCGCTCGTCACGCCGAAGACCTGGGTTCGATTCCCGACATGGGTACAATGTGTGAAGCCCATTTCTGGTGTCCCCCGCCGTGATATTGCTGGAATATTGCTAAAAGCGGCGTAAAACCATACTCACGCACTCTAAATTAATGGGTGTCTTAGGTCCTTGAAGTCTATCTTTAACTTTGGGTATATTCTTGGGATCCCTTAAATCTGAAACTCTTGACTTTTATCTATGACAAGTACCCCTTGACTTTCATGCTCATTTGCAAACACTGGTGAAGTTTTGAGAAATAGAACAGTTTAATACATTATCAGTGTTAATAATTTTGTTTCCTTCCATTGTCTGTGAAAATAAAATCCATGGATTCAAAGACAGATCAAAACTGTTTTATGCGACTCACAAATGTGCATCTAGTATGCACAAAATATACTGTACTGGACGATGCACAATTTTCATTGCAACTACAGCATTATGCATTTCAAGAGCGTGTGTCTGTTATTTCATCCATTAAGCATGACCACTGTCCACGATTCATTACAGACTCTAAAATAATTATCTAAATGTACTGTACAGTACAGCATGTCATTACTTTACAGGACCCTCATATTTCCTGGAAGGGCCCTTAAAAAGAAATATTGAGGTACCCGGACCCCTTCTTTTGTAAGACGAGGTAAAACCCTGTCATGCTCATGGTCCAGAAAGATGTACAGTACAGCATGTCATTACTTTACAGGACCCTCAAATTTCCTGCAAGGACCCTTAAAAAGAAATATTGAGGTACCCAGACCCCTTCTTTTGTAAGACGAGGTAAAACCCTGTCATGCTCACAGTCCAGAAATATGTTGTATGTGGTGTTACAGGTCATCTACTCTACCTGATGCTGTGGCGGGAGCTGTGCACAATGTGCCGGCGCTAGACACTCAGTGGATCGAAACTACAGCCAAGAAGGCTGCCCTCAAGCTGGAGAAACTGGACACAGACTTGAAGAACTACAAAAGTAATTCTATCAAGGAAAGTATACGGTATGTTGTTTTTGATGGAGTTATTTTCTGAACAAATTGGGTTGATTGGTTGATCAGAAAGTTTACCTGACACGACCTCTTCTGGAAGTGTCCTCAGCACAGATCTTCACACAGAGAGGTGTCATTTTGGAGTAAAACATTTGAGTTTAATAAGATTGCTTGCTCAGTAACAAACTCCAATGTTTTGTGTGCATCTGTACCTATCAAAGTGAATTACAAATTTGCATATATAGTTTCAATTTAAAATTGTTATTAATTTTTTGTTGTTATTGCAAAACTATTCAGTAACAATTTGGAAATGCTGTGCATTTAGCATGGTTAGCAGACTTTGACAATATTATGTTGTTTCAGGCGGGGCCACGATGACCTTGGAGATCACTATCTAGACTGTGGTGACTTAAGCAATGCATTGAAGTGCTATTCAAGGGCAAGGGACTACTGTACAAATCCAAAACATGTTGTAAACATGTGTTTAAATGTTATAAAGGTAATACTTTCAGATTTGATAGTCTTTCAAAAATATTTGTCATTTGGTGGTTCTTATTGAGATGGTGAAGGTGAAGAAAGTGGTATGACATTGGAAAAATAAACATCTCTACCTGTGTAAATAAATAAAGTTTTTTATCAGATACATTTACAATTTAAGCCCTTGAATATTAGTGTTAATAAAAATATTGAGCATAAATAATCATTCTTCTGATTATTTTACATAATCAGTAAACTCAAAGGGCTTTGCATCTAGGTTATGATGAACAGGTGAATTATGTATGTACAACTGGGTCTCGAAAAATCTACTTGTCTGCTCGTATTGACGAGTGGCAGAATGTGAAGGGCGAGAAACAAACGCTTGTCCTAACGGGCGAGTATATATACTCAACAACAAAAGTTCCTGTGACACCCAATATTTTAGTGTATTTTTCAAACAAGTAAAGTTTTGTTTTCAATATTGTAGTACATGTATGGAATCAAGTCACAAAAATGTAACTGCTCCAGAAAAGCATGCATTCAATGCAAAAGTTGACTTTTATGCAGGCCACATGCATTTCACTACCCAAGAATGGGTATAAAAACATGCGTTAACGGGCCACGCGTAACCAATAATTGACAAGACAACTGGATTCGAACAACACACCTATGAAATCGATTCCAGCCAGCAACAGTGACTGCTAGAAGCATCCCCCGCCTTCGATCGACGAATATCTTCACAAACTGTACGCGCCGCCTCAGATGTGCAGGGATTGTCGCCAGAAGACCCGCCAGACGTCCCATTTTGACAAGAAACCACCTCCAAGCATGTCTACAGTGGTGCAGACAAGTTCAATTCACTGACGAGTCTCGTTTTCACCTCAGCCACAACAATGGACGGATTCGAGTGTACCGACGTCGAGGTGAACGTTAAGTTAATCATTGTGTCATGGAAGAAGATCGGTTCGGGGGCGGCAGCGTTATGGTATTGGGTGGGATTACAGCAAGACAGAGGACCCGTTTGATAGTGGTAGAGGGAAATCTCAATGGACAGCGCTACCATGACGAGATCATCGGCCCTGTTGTTCTAACGTTTTTGCGTCGTCATGGCCCAGGCATTACCTTTCAACATGACAATGCCCGGCCTCATATTGCTCGACTTGTTCAGGATTCTTTTCAACAAAACAACGTGAATGTCATCCCCTGGCCGACTCGCTCCCCTGATCTCTCACCAATCGAACACATGTTGGATGAGCCTTCGACGCCTTCGACGTCAACCATATGTTCCACAGACACTCCAGGAACTTCAAACATGCTCCAGCAGATATGGACAGATATCCCACAGGACACTCTGTGACGCCTGGTCCATTCCATGAGATGAAGATGTGTTGCTTGCATCGCAGCCAGAGGTGGACACACATGCTATTGATTTGTAAATTGACATTTTGGCATGTTCATGTTTTTTATGAAATCACACATTTTCTGAAGTCAGTATGGCAAATTAAACCATTTGAACACTTACAGGAGTCTTTTATCTGATGCAAACCGAAATTGTTTCAGATTTGGTAAAAAACATAACTTTGCATTAAATCTTATTCAATGTCACAGGAACTTTTGTTTTTCAGTATATTTCAGTCATATCAATTTATCTCTAATCAAATTGAATAAAATACTGTATATTTTAAAACTTATCCTATCTCACACTGTGCATTTATCATTCTTCTTTCGATCCTAAGTGGGAACATGCCAAAACAACATGAACAAAGGTTTCCAACTTCTGAAAAAACAACCCACACAAACGCAACTAGCATCTCCATGGTCTCCTCCCATCAATCTGGGTCATGCACGCTTTCATGCCGGTCAACCTACACATGCTGAACACATGATTTCCCCAGCCAACTAGTTCTCTTTCTAAGCGCCTCGGTGTGGTGACATGCAACTCACAAGAGAATCCATTTGGTTTATCTCTTTTTTCCAATTTTCCCTCTTTGAAGACTTCAAGACTTCTTCCTCTTTGGTCGTTTTTTTTCAACATGGATGAACAGGCTATGCATCTTCCTGCGTGTCTAACTTGTAGACAGGTTTTTCCCCTTCAGACCCCCATGATGTCTGTTCAGATTGGCGCAGTCGCTCATGGTTCTCAGTGTGTTGACTTACTCGATGAATATTTGAGCATTTATCTTCACAAGTGTCTGTGTAGAGAACAAGACCTGCTTTCTAAGTCTGCTGAAAAATCGAAAATAACAAAGAAAACTACCCAGATTACCGTCCTCGACCAAGTTTCTATCCCTCTCTTCACTGTGAATTTTCCTCTTTTCATGTATAGAGACAAACCTCATCATTCGGCCACTACCAGCAGATGCCCTTCCCAAAAGGCCACATATGGCACTCTTCCTCCAATGCCCCGCACAGGTTCCCCGTCTCAACCTTCGGTTCGAATCCACCTATCATGACTGTACCACATCGTCCAGTGAAACTACAGTCTTCCACACAGATACTTCCTAATCCTAATGATTTAACCTCCATCCCGACGCAGCAACCTCAGTCTCTTACAAGCCGTGACGTCAACGTTCTACGGATACAGTAATGTCTGTTCCGGCTTCTCTTCAGCCTATGACATCGACAGTCGCACCTTCTGTGGATCCATTGCCCTGCTTCTTCCTAAGGCAGTTTTGACACTGCAGATCTGGCTATGGTCTTGATTTGGATTGAGGATAGACTCCAGCTTCCCAATAGTACTTTGACCAAAGATACTTTATCATCTTTTGTTGTCCTCTCTGCAACTTCACCACATATTATGCTCCCTCTCAGACTAGTAGACGGATGTAGCTACAAATCTGGATAAAGTCTTTGGGTCCTTTTGCCGTCTACTTGATTGATTAATCTCCTCGCTTTGTGTTGGCGAGTGCCTATTGACTTCTGCTCCTGAACTGAACAGTGACATAACGATTTTGGCTCCTAAACGTCCGTTGTCCTGCTCTACGGTGGACGATACAGATTTAGTGCACCTGAACACTACTTTTCGCCGAACTCTACCCTTAGTCTCCACTATTCTCGGCTCCTACCTCGGGATCATGCATCTTCTGAAGATGAGACTAGTACTAGAATCTGTACTTTACAAAGAAAGTGTTATCCCAAATACAACATTTCTTACATTTGACCACTCTCTAAATGACATTGTGTATTCATGACTTTGTCCTTTGTTTCTTTAATGGATTTGTTGAAAATTACTATTTGATGTCTGTTATGTTTGGTGAATGTGTAGTTTCTGTTCTGCTTGTAGGTTAGTGTGTACCTTCAGAACTGGTCTCACGTCCAGAGTTACGTGAACAAAGCAGAAGCGACACCCGAAGCCACAGAGGTAATTATGTGCACAGCTGTTCTACTTGTTCAATACTACTGATCTACAATTGATTTCTTCCTTTGCTCATTGGTTTAGAGATTTCTTGTACTCATTCATAAAAAAGTTAATGTCATTTGGTAGCAATGAGCTGTGATGAGGATAGTTGAAAAAAATTGTAATGATGTTATTTATGGTAAATAAGTTTTTTTAGGAAAACTGAGGTAGTCGGGGTAGTCTAGTGATTAAATCTTTCTTGTTCAAGTCTAACTGTTCAAATAACAATATGAGAGTTTTCAAGGTTCTTGTTCTTGCCGTTATAGTATTGACCTTTTCATTCTGTTATGATTGTGACATTTGTTTTCAGCATGTAAAAGATGGGCAATTCATCCAGACAAAGTTAAGATGTGCAGCAGGATTGGCAGATCTCGCTACTAAAAAATACAAATCAGCAGCCAAATATTTTCTTCAAGCTAGCTTTGATCACTGTGATTTTCCAGAGGTAGGGAGTTAATTCTTACATGAACAATTTGATAAAAAGCAATTGACCATTATTCATGTTAATAAGACCAGACCAATTTTTTTTCTTGTATTACGGATTCTACAGACCAAATTGGCTGCATGGGGGGGAAAATAAGCCTATGTCAATAAATAAAAATGCTTGTGGTACAGATTTATGGGGCCAAATGTTTAAATGGAGGAGGAAATAACGCAACCTTGAAAGTGTTAAATAATCCACACTTGTGACGTAACTACTCAGAAATCAATTTCTGCTACTCCAAGAAGCAAAACTTCCTGAAGCCGAAAATCAGACGCAGCAGGGCATGTGGCCATAGCATTTGATGACAAATAACCATCTGCGTCAGAAAGCTTCTTTTCAGTTTTTCCTTATTTAGAAACTTTTCTAGTTTGGTTTGTGACACTTCTGCTGAAGCCCATTTTCAAAACAGTACGAGAAATAGTAACAATAACAAATCCTTAAACAACATATATCAAGTGATTCGTCTGTCAGGGACGCAGCAGTGATCCAATGACATATACACTATTATTGCAAGTGAAACTTTTGAAAGAGTTGCTTCCCTTCCTTGGATAAATCAATTGATATTTTAGTGTTGTAGGTTGCAACATCATTTATCATTATTTTCCTTTTTGAGATAAGGAAATAGTCAGTTTGGCAGATCTGTATTACAAGAAAAGAGACCCGTGAAGATCCGGGGTAGAATAGGTCTTCAGCAACCCATGCTTGTCGTTAAAGGCGACTATGCTTGTCGTAAGAAGCAACTAACTGGATTGGGTGGTTGATGCATGTCATTGTATCCAAATTGCGTGGATCAATGCTCATGATGACAATCACTGGACTGTCTGGTCCAGATTCGATTATTTACAGACCGCCGTCATATAGCTGGAATATTGCTGAGTGCAGCGTTGAACAACAAACAAAACTGTTATGCAATAAAAAAAACATTGGTCTGGCGTAAGTAAAAAATATGAGATGCCATAAATGATTAGAAAGTAATGTTAATTGTTGTAATGAAGTCCCATAATACTGTGTTGTTTCAGCTTTTGTCTGCCGGCAATGTAGCAACGTATGGTGCCCTATGTGCCCTAGCTTCATTTGACAGACAAGAGTTACAGAGAAACGTCCTTTCTAGCAGGTGTGTAGATGTTATTGTTTGTTACTTTTCTTAACATATGTTATTTCAACCCTAAACTCCCTTATCGGCCTTACTGCCCCTTGGGCTGATGTGGGGTCTTGATAACTGAAGGGCGTCATATGACTGAGTTGATGTATACTACTTAGTAGAAGGTAAAGAACACCTGATTCTTTCATATTGCTATACTTAATCAGTCATGGCATGACAAGATAACTACAGTAATATGAAAGATGTTTGTTCGTTTGTTAGAGTAGTATATTTCAACCAAGTGGGCATGATATAACTGAGGTGTGTGATATGGCTGAGGTGATGTGATGTGGATGGGAATGTGATGCATCTGTAGGGATGTGATATGGATGGGAATGTGATGCAGCTGTGGGGATGTGATGTGATGCAGCTTTGGGGATGTGATATGGATGGGAATGTGATGCAGCTGTGGGGATGTGATATAGATGGGAATGTGATGCAGCTGTGGGGATGTGATATGGATGGGGATGTAATGCAGCTGAGGGGATGGGATGTGACACAGTTGAGTGGGCATGAAACGGTTGAGGGTATGTGGTACTGTGTTGAATATAGCAGATGGGAGGGGATACGACCTAGGGGGCAGGATACAGTTGAAGGTACATGGTACTGTGTGTTGAATACAGCAGATGGGAGGGGATATGACTTCGGGGGCATGATACAGTTTTATTACCCACGTGGTGAAGATACAGGTGGTAAGATACTAAATCCGTACGTTACCCGTGTGTTGTACAAGGTTGATATCGTTTTATTCGTTTTGATTGTGACCTCTGTCACACATGGACTACTTTTTTCATTCATAAAAAATCGTCATCCATTTTCAACCACAAGGCAACTATTGAATGAAATCTTATGAGTGCGAGTGATATTTACAAACACTTCAACACAACACACCGAAAAAGATAGTCACACACATCACATTCGGTTTGCATTCTACATTAGTTATGCATAGAGCTTCTACAGATATGATATAATCGAGCTATATCCATTTGCAATGTATGACTACCGATCAATAGATCGAGGGTCCCCATAAGCGTGACGCACCCGACCACTTTCTCAACTTCAATTTGATTTAACGTGAAAGGATAAGCGTGGTGAAATGAAGTCAGTTTAAACTATCTGGACAGATATCTAGACTTACTTGTGATGATCCGGTTATGCCATCAGTGTCCCCTTCAAAGCGTATTTTGTGGCACTGTTTCGGGAGTTGTTTGTTCACGACTACACGACCAGATCACTTACAGTGAACGTTTCCAATGCAAATCATTTCTTAACTCCGTAGAAGTGTGTCTGATTTCTGATTATGTGGCCCAAAATATCCCAAATATTGATTGAACAATAACATTCCCCTAGCATATCTCTAGCATAAAATGCTGTGAGTAGATCATGGTTGTCTTTTCTTATTCCGGTGGTGACCTTGCCCTTCGTTCAAAGCAGACTTGAGTTTGTTGATTTTCCATGTCTTCAGTATAGGGTGGTACAGTTAACATGAATGTGTTTGGCGAACACTCTGATTTCCCTCTTCCAAAATGGTACGGACATGATGTTGCGTATGCTCTGCTACCAATGTTTGTTGCGCAGTGGAAGGCGACGACGTTCACGTGTATACCTGTCTTTTCTACTACACTGTAAATTATACGATTAATGGGGAACTAAACGTGATTCTCTTTCTATGACAGAATGGGGAACTAAACGTGATTCTCTCTATATGATATTGTGGGGAACTAAACGTGATTCTCTTCTTAAATGAAAAATAAGAAAACTATGCAAGGTCCATGACCTAGAATGCAGGAATTATTAATTTACTATAGGAGCAAGTACACACTTAACGTTTCTAAGGGCCACGAATATTGTCCCATCTAGTTTATACCAAGACCACGAATATTGGTCCAACGATAACTAGTTCCTATAAAGACCACGTAATGTGTGTCTTGCTCCAACGAACGAAAAGCCTGCACTGGCGATTGCAATGCATCACGTGTCAGCATTCATTTTCTGCACGTGAAACGAATGCCACGATCTGATTTGGCGTTTGTGGCGTTTGTGCTAATGTTCATGTAACATGAACCGAAACAATGTTTGTTTTGTTTTATTTATATTCTCTCCACAACACATGATATAAATTCAGCTGATAGATCGAGGAAACCGAACCATTTTGATTGCAAACTCGTGAACTTTCTATGGTATCTGACCTTGCTTTCGCTCAGTCAGATCATAAATAGTCCATTTGTTTCGTAAAAATGGTATCTAATGAGAATGAGTGTAGTATTCTCTATGAGGGTACTTGGTACTGTGTGTGGAATATAGCGGACGGAGGGGATACGACTTAGGGGGCAGGATACAGTTGAAGGTATATGGTACTGTGTGTGGAATACAGCAGATGGGAGGGGATTCAACTAAGGGGGAAGGATACAGTTGAAGGTACATGGTACTGTGTGTGGAATACAGCAGATAGGAGGGGATTCAACTTAGGGGGCAAACAGTTGAAGGTACATGGCACTGTGTGTTGAATACAGCAGATGCGAGGGGATTCAACTTAGGGGGCAAACAGTTGAAGGTACATGGTACTGTGTGTTGAATACAGCAGATGGGAGGGGATACAACTAAGGGAGCAAACAGTTGAAGGTACATGGTACTGTGTGTTGAATACAGCAGATGGGAGGGCTACAACTTAGGGGGCAAACAGTTGAAGGTACATGGCACTGTGTGTTGAATACAGCAGATGGGAGGGGATTCAACTTAGGGGGCAAACAGTTGAAGGTACATGGCACTGTGTGTTGAATACAGCAGATTGGAGGGGATACAACTAAGGGAGCAAACAGTTGAAGGTACATGGTACTGTGTGTTGAATACAGCAGATGGGAGGGCTACAACTTAGAGGCCAGGACACAGTTGAAGGTACACGGTACTGTTGAATACAGCAGATGGGAGGGCTACGACTTAGAGGCTAGGACACAGTTGAAGGTACACGGTACTGTTGAATACAGCAGATGCGAGGGGATACAACTTAGGGGGTAGGATACAATTGAGAAGATGGTATACAGCCGAGGATGTGTGATATGACTGAGGGAATGTGATACAACCTTCCATTGTGTTTCTTGCTGTCGACACTGATAACCGCATTATCAGTGGTTTCAATAAGGGAGCTTGACAAATCGAAACTAAGCATAATTGTAGTGAATATGTACCATGTCCAAAGGAACTGTATGAGGCTGAAAAAAAGTCTTGAGTTCTCAGGCACCTCTGCATCATGACACAGTCCACCGCACATTTTGATTTTGTTTCCATTTTCAAAAAAATAAATCCTTAAAAATTCAGCGTCTCGAACAGTTGCTTCCCTTTACAAGCAGACTGCTTTACTGCGCATCTGGTGTTATGGTCATGGTGGCAATATATTTTGTACTTTTTTGGCCATTTTCAAATTTGGTCAATGAAAACATGAAAGATAAACCATAGCACGATAATTTACAATTTCAATGTTATTTGTATACAGTATGCCAGACAAGGTTTCATATGGAGAGATTAAGATTATGCATGTATTTGTCTCATGATATAAGCCAGAAATAGCAATCAGCTGTTCACACATTTTCTCCCTGATCTATGGGTGATTTAGTCTTATCAATACTTGGCCAATGACACAGCTGAAAAGAAATTTCAATAGTGATTGAAGACTTTGTATCCAAGCGACAAATGTTGAGTGGTGTGATTTGCCGATCAGTTCATATATGATTTTGTCGAATTTAAGGTAAACAAAATTGAACGAAATCTTGGACAATGGTAATTTAATGGATTATAAAGTCCAGATACACAATGAACCCTTTTATAGCCAGATAGTGTAATAACAGGGCTGACTTGTGTCCTTCTGTACGGATTGGTTGACATGCTGTTTCCGGTGTTGTGAGTCTCAATAAGATAAGGGGCAGTCGGGTAGCCTAGTGGTTAAAGCGTTCACTCGTCACGCCGAATACCAGGGTTCGATTCCCGACATGGGTACAACGTGTGAAGCCCATTTCTGGTGTCCCCCGCCGTGATATTGCTGGAATATTGCTAAAAGCGGCGTAAAACCATACTCACTCACTCACTCAATAAGATAATGTAATGCTTCTACAAACATCAGAAAAGTAGGTTGTGGGCTCATTATTCATGAGTTATTCCTTCCCTGAAAAGATGTAGTCTAGTCATGGGTCATAGTCTTGTCATAATTTTCTTGTTCATATTGCTACGAATTTTAGCTGAATCATCGGTAGATCTTAGAGAATATGTGTACAACTGATTGTTATTTTCGGCCTAGTCTACGAGACAAATCCACTGTTATCTTAATCTCTGCATTAAAACCCATGTCTTGCAGAACAGGAAATACAACGGAAAGGGGGATGTTTTATATCAAATTTCATAAAACAGCATTTTGATATTGTTACATATATTTTGTGATATTTTTGTTTTTGACCTGTGTTTGATTACAATGTGGCTGACTGAAATGTTGTCTTCCAGTTCTTTCAAACAGTTCTTGGAGCTGGAACCACAGCTGCGGGATATTATACACAAATTTTATGAATCCAAGTACGCCTCCTGTTTAAAGTTGCTGGATGAAATCAAGGTCAGTACATTGTCTCAACATCCATAATTTGAATTCTTAGCTGAACATTCCCCTATAAGGGATTGTTGATGTGCTTGTTCAAAACTGAGCTCCGCTGCCGCCACAGTTTGTTTTCTCAACCATGCCTGATATTCTTCCTATATTTTCCTGGAGACTCTTTCTAACAAATGATTGGTTGACATTGAAGGTCAAGGCCACTGAGATGAACAAGAAATCACAGTATTTATGAATGGAATTTGATGAAACTTAGTACATGTAGTATAGATGATCTGTAAGACAGGGTTTCAGTCGCATGAACTTCGAATAAGGTCAAGGTCACTAAAGGTTAAATTATGTAATCATTGCTTTGCCAGTTAAAAACTCATAGAATTTCATATCCGATTGCTATCCAAGTGGTTTTCGTTAATTGGTAATGTTCAAATTTCACAAACCTTCAGATTAATTTATGAAATATTTAAGCATGTCTAATCAGTTATGATACTCTCAATAATCACTTGATACTTATCAAATATCATGGTTGTTTGCAAAAAGTAATTTTCTCTTGTGATTGCATGACATTGTAGGCCAGGGTCAGTCATGTAAGATGAGAGTGAAAAAAGCTTGTATGAAAGATAACTTATTTATGATTGGAATTCGATGAAACTAAGTGTACATGATCTCTTAGGTGGGGTCTCGATTGAATCACCTTTTGGGTGACAATATGAGCTCAAGGTCAAATTATGAAACAGTTCATTTTTGTCACTAAACAATATATCACGTGACTAATCACGGTTCTGGGTTGTCCTGTGGGTACCCGGGTCCTACTCAGTACCCACCCGACCCGAGTACCCGAGTTACCCATCCCAGCTCTAATGTTAAGACTTACCTTTTGTAGAACGTGTAGAATGAGTATCAGTTCTTGAAATCGGTTTGATGTATAGGAATAAATGTTAACTGCATTTGTGTGTAATTAGGCAGGACCTGTTTTAGATTGCTTTACCGAATTGATAACCCTAAATAAAGTGGGAAAGTACCCACTCTGAAATGCACTATTTCTTTTGCCATGTGCACACTTAGGTGTGTACCACCAAAATATCTTGCCTTCTGTATGCTATAAGTAAAACTGCATGACAACAGGTTACATAGTAAGACCAGTTTATAGCTTAACGCTGCACTCATGGCAACATATTCAGGTAACAAACATATTTAAAGCGAAATGTTTTTTTTATTGATCTCTTTCTTTAAAAAAATCTGAAGATCAAGAATTAAAATAATATCGTGACAAAACATTGTGGCATTTATTTCTTCAAAAGTCGCAAATCTCCTAATCACCTTAATTTTTCCTTACAGGATAACTTGTTGTTAGACATGTACCTGGCCCAGCATGTAACAACGCTGTACACACAAATAAGGAACAGAGCTCTGTGCCAAGTAAGTTGCTGCACTGCCATTTACCCTCCTAGCCATTTCTGGGTGGTTAAAGCATTCGCTTATCACACCAACATGACCAAAGGCCTAGTTTCATCCCCCAATGTCTGAAGCCCATTTGTTGTTGTAATATCTTTAAAAGGAATGAAAAGCCATACTCCCTCACTTGGGACCCGTGAAGACCCGGGGTAGAATAGGTCTTCAGCAACCCATGCTTGCCGTAAAAGGTGACTAATGGGATCTTGTGGTCAGGCTTGTTGGCTTGGTTGATGCATGTCATCGATGCTAATGACATCAATGACTGGATTTTCTGGTCCAGACTTGATTATTTACAGACCACCGTCATATAGCTGGAAAATTGCTGAGTGTGGCATTAAACAACAAACAACAAAAACTTCCTCACTTGGCTATTTCCTCCTTCTGGTGGATCTCACAACACAGATTCAGGAGTAGTTTTACCAAATGCCTTCTCTAGTGGGTATTCCAGGGCAGAATAGGCCTTCATTAAGCCATGTTTGATGATTTAATGAAAACATAACATGTATTGCTTGCATGCCATTGTGCCCTGTTGATGGTGTTGTTACTCATGCAATTGATCTCTGGTTTGCCTGGCCCTTGATTCTTCATACTGTTTTAATATTGCTAACTGCCTTGTAAAACAAGTTTCTTTGATAAAAGCCAGCTAGTTGGTAGTCCCAATAGCTGAGTTAATTACAGCAGAAGTTTCAGGAATGCAAGCTTTTAAAGGGGAAATCCTACTAGCCTAGAGGATAGTGTTAACATCAAACAAACTTGCATGAGATCATCAGGCATGACCAACTCTCCACTATCCATCTGTTAACTACATTGCTTCACTCCCTCACCCGTGTGTCTTCTGTTACGAGTTACCATGGTTACAGCTGAAAGATTGCTGCAACTGCCCATGTATTAAGAATCGTGAAAGACGATAGCTGTTACCATCTACATAAATCATGTCAAGGTTCTGTTATTGATAGAGAACTTTCTTTTCTTACGTGTAGTACTTCAGTCCTTACCTGTCAGCGGACATGAAGAAAATGGCTGAAGCTTTCAATACGACCGTCCCTGCCTTGGAGGATGAGCTGATGCAACTGATTTTAGATGGGCAGATCAACGCTCGCATAGACTCTCACAATAAGGTACTTTAGATTTATTTCATCACAAGGTGTGGCACTATGACTGTCGTAAGTCCATATTCAGTGATTTGCGGCAATTACAATTACTGTGTGAAAAAGTCTTCTGAAAGCTGTTGGTGTAGTTTCTTGCAGCTGTCTGTGCATAATTGATACCAGTGTGTGTTTGTTACTGTATTTGAGTGTTACGTTAGGCTTAATTTTTTTTTAGAAATGTTTCTCCGGCAATGACTTTTGAAAATATTGTGGGTGGGGTGTGTGTGTGTTTTTTTTTGGCTTGTTCAAACCAGTATGTAACCAAATAAACAGTTGTGTACCATCAACCCGGGAAAGGGCCTCCCTACATAAACAAGCATGCAAAATTCCTATTGCCACCATGATCATATCACGAGATGTGCTGTAAAGAAAAGTGCATGTAAAGGGAAGTAACTGTGTGCTATATTGGATCACATTGTTTTTAAGTATGAGGATTTTCTTTTATATAGAAATAAAAACAAAATGTCCGGAAGACTTTATGATAACCTGGGCGGTCCCAGAGAACCAAGACTGTTATCTTTTTTAGCCTTAGTAATAGTGGAATGCACCAGTCATTATTGTGTTATGTTAAAACTCATGAAAGTGTCAGTATCAGATACAGTCCTAAGTCAAGTTTAAGTTCACTATTTTATTTTCCCTGGTAGAAACAATCTTTGTACTGAACTTTAAGTGGAGTACATAACTACGTCGTGTGTCAATACTGTCCTTGACCCTTCCAGATCTTGTATGCCCAAGATGTAGACCAGAGAGCCACAACCTTCCAGAAGGCGATAACAATGGGGAAAGAGTACCAAAGACGGACAAAGGTCAGTTGAATTCGCTTACATATTTTGCCTGTTCATTTAATGCAACGATTCCCTGTGCAGAGTTGCGTCCCTTGGGCACGCCAGAAACCTATGATTGTTGGTTCGAATCCTGGTTCGCCCCGATTATGTTTCAAGGTTTGTCAGCACCATACCCGTGCTCGTGGGTTTCACAGAGGTGGTTAACGTCTGAGACCTGCAATACTTCAGGCTTTCCTCCCACATTAAGCTGACACGCTGTGATATGACTGGAATAATGTTGAAAGCGGCGTTAAACCCATATCGCTCACTCACTCATTTAATGCAAAGTATTTATGTTCAATAATGATGAAAGAGATGGAAAATATATGACAAAATATTCAACTTGATTATATTTTTTTCCAGGCCTTGATACTTCGATCTGCAGTGTTAAAAAATCAGATTCATGTCAAGGTGAGACAGATTCCCTGTTGTTGATTTTCTGTTGTGTTGTTATGGAACAGATAGCTTTTGCTGTAAACATTTTGTTTTCTCAATCCTGCCTGTATCATTGAAGGTAACAGCTATAAGCTGGCTATGTACATACCTGTAAACCTTATTGCTTCATGTAGTTTTGTTAGTTTCTGTCGGCATTTTCCATAGTGTGATGAACTGTCACACAATTCAGCTTTTTAGGTTTTGTGAACATTGAGATGCTTAGATAGCTAACATGAATGTCTGGTATGCTTGAGTATCTCTTTGTACATGTTGTATCACCCCATTGCGTAATTCAAAGCCTCTGTAGCCATATACCATATTTATCGTCCTTAACTGTTTTACGAGATCTTCATCATTTTGGCCTTGACTGAACAGGGTGCCATTGCATAAAGCGATCTTAGCACAAAAGTGATCGGAACTCTCATACCGAAACATAGACTTTCGACAGTCATAGTGCTAAGGTTGTTTTGTACAACAGCTTCCAGAACTTATGATACGAAAATATTAATATTAATAGCTTAAGAAATATAACCAATGCAATGTCAGGCATGAAAAAAACCCACAAGTAAGCATTTGTTCCTTGTACCGGTGCAGATTTGGTGCAAAAATGTTCCCAATTGTCATGCTGGTATCTGCTGATATGGGTTTGAATCCAATGTCCTTAGTTTGTCAGAATGATCAATGTCATACAAGTGCTCACGGATTCCATCAAAGTGGTTAATGTCCATAATTTGCATTAGTTAGCAGTTTCCTCTCATGTTTAAGTGACACTCCATGATACAACATAGTCCTAACATGGATACAATTCTTGTTGTCCTCTGTTACGATATGGCAGCAATAATGCTGAAAGAAATGTAAACCATTCTCACTCATTCCCATTAGAAGTAATATTACCCAAGAGTAGAATGATCGTGTGTCATAACTTTCTGATATTTGCATGTGTTATTTAGTCACAGTGCTTCATTGTTGAGAATAACACGGAATGACATCCTCCATAGTTCATGACATCACACATTTCTTTCATTATGTTATCTGAACAATAGAGTGAAGTTTCCCTGCTGGTTTGACATTTCACATGGGTTATTTTTCAATTTCTCTGATAAAAAGTCAATAAGTAAAAATAACCTGTTTGAACACAGAATTACGGATTATCTGAATGAATGTTGTAAGTCCCTCACCAAAGGATCAGAATTAACACCATTCATTCACTTGGTCAAGATGATCCTTGATTCCTCATAGCTTGTTGGTTATTCTCTAATTCTCCTTACTCTCTCATATTTGTGCAGTTGTCAACAGATGTTTGTAATATCAACATCACTCTGTTGATTACTTTCTCAAGAATGTATTATGTAATCTCAAGTCAATGTATTTATGCTTAAAACATTTTCTGATATGTTTTCTGTTTTCTGCTATATTGTACATGGTTTGAATGTGCACAAATTAATTCTGTTGACTTATTTTAAGGGATGAAAATGATTCCTCCCTTCTATTGTTCAGAGTCCACCTCGGGACGGGGGTACAGGAGGTGAGATGTCCATCGCACCAGGCAATGCGTCATCAGCAAGGAACTGAGGCAGGATTTAAACTTTGAAGAACTCGTAAATGTTCTGTTTTGTCCCAGCATTCTGCTGGACATGTGGCAGATTTGATCCACCACGAGTTGTCATCATCACCAGCAGCAGTAGCAGCAGCATCTGCTGCCTGCTGCATCTCTTGCGTGCACAGCGGCGTACCATAACGCAGCTCTGCTTGGTCATAAACTGTGATACCCAGTGAAACACTGTACTTTGGGCCTCTACCAGACACAGTCATAGACAGATTCTGTGGGAGTGGTACAGAATCGCAGAAATGTTCACAGCGTTTCGTTGTGGATTACTTACATACCTTATAAATATATATGCAAAGCTGATGATACTGAATGATGGATGTCAAAGTGCTCAAGACTAAGAACTTTGAACTAGTGCTACTTACAATATCATGTAGAGGACTTCTTCAGTTCCTCACTATCCAAGACTTATCGTAATTGGTTTGACTTACATCCGCAATAGATATCTTATGATGTTATTTTGGAAGAACTGTATGTACCCACGTATCTGATATGGTATCTGATAAAGCAACGAGGTTTTTGAAAATGCTATTGTTGGCTTGATTGTTACGTTTTGCCAGTTGTTACTGTCATGCCAAACCCAGTTATCTCCCCTTGCTGTGCCATGTATCCCACCAGGGACTAATGTATTTGTGTGATATACAGTTTGACAAATAACTTTACAAATCATTAAAAAATAGCATGGGATATGGTTCACATAAATTCCAATTCATTCGTGTTGATTTACAAGTACATGTAATGGCAAACCTGTCCCCAAAATGTACAAGTATATGATATTGCATTGGTCCTTAATCTGTTTAAAGTATTCAAGAGATGTGTGAATATCCTCTGTAATAGAATAAACATTCCTTTGTGACAGAAACACGTAGGTTTGAAACTAGATTATTTCATTCTCAGCTTATCAATCACTATAACTGACATAGTTTTAAAAGCTATTTGCCAAAATTATTTTCATAACGTGATTGTCATTTTGGACTAGTTAACATGTTAAATAAATGTTGATTGCATTGAAGCTGCAAAATCATTTTCAGTAGACAAATATGTAAAATTTCATTATTTTGCCTTCAAGATTTCTAAATTCAACATATCAATGATGTTGTATATTTGCTGGATTAACTCAGAGATGATGGTCAGATTTGATTTCAAAATAACCAACTGAATTTTGGAGGTTTGAGTGTGAAGTATCCAGAAAACAGGTATTTGTAGACTCAAGCAGATCTGGTAAAATTGATCCTAATTTGAATTTGAACGACAGTCAAGCTACCTACTTGTAGATGGAACAGTTTGTGTATATACTGTGAGTTAACAAAGGTTTTCAGCAATATTGTTCTGTGTACAAGTTTATCTTCAAGCCATATTGTCTACACTCCGCTTCATATGAAATAATATAGTAACACTACATTTATGAATATAGCTCACCAGATTGTCATTGTGACTCTAAACAAGGAACGGGAAGACTGTTTTCTGCTTATGGATAATGTATATTTTAATGGATTTCTTACAAATTTGAGCAATTGTGCCTGGCACAGAATGGTCGAGGGTTTGAAACATTGTTATTCTTTGTACCAGTATCTATAAATACATCATGTACTTGATCAGTGTTTATTATTTTTAATACGGTAACCATGGTAACAGTGCTTCAAACTCCTCAGCATAATGGTATTTAAAATGGTTCTTGTTTATTGTATTTTGAGAGTTCAAGAGTCACAGGTTTTCTTGATTTCATTATGTGTATTGTCCAGTTACCATGATTGAACATTCAGGTTTTTAATGCAAGTTGTATCAAAATAAAGCCGAAATTGACCTGTTAGGAATGGCTGTCAATACTCATATTACTCTGTATACTGTTTAAATTGTTGCCATATTTGTTGCATTTGTAAATTTTCCTCGAGTTCCTGAATTGACAATACTACTGTGGCTCTTATATGGTAATAGGTCTTTTACTGAAATATTTTATCATTCTTGTGTTAATGTGAATGATGCTATTCACCACCAAATCTTTCACTAGAAATCTCATTGTATTTAAGTAAAGAGTGACCTTGATGTACATGATGAAAATGTTAATTTGAAGATCATGTTTTGATATGAAATGTAGCTGTGGGAAATACACAGTGGATGCACAGCAAGTTCTTTGTTGTTATTGCTCTATAGCTGCTCCGGGGCGTTCGGGTAGCCTAGTGGTTAAAGCGTTCGCTCTTCATGCCGAAAACCCGGGTTCGATTCCCGACATGGGTACAATGTGTGAAGCCCATTTCTGGTGTCCCCCGCCGTGATATTGCTGGAATATTGCTAAAAGCGGCGTAATACCATACTCACTCACTCACTGTAGCTGCTCAAGAGGGAATTAGGATTCAGTGGCTGAATAGGTCCCGTGCATCCCACGCTTGGGGTAAGACTAATGAGGATTGGATTGTCAGAGTGTCACATGGCTGATAGTGTTGTCACCCCAGTGTGGTTGAACGTTTCAAAAAATCTCTGATCTGCCTCATCAAACTCTTATTTTTAATGGCTCAAACAATGCCATGGTGATGAGTTTTATCTCGCTCACTCTAATTTACAGGGGCGGTTTGGTAGCCTAGTGGTTAAAGCGCTCGCTCGTCACGCCAAAGACCCGGGTTCGATTCCCGACATGGGTACAATGTGTAAAGCCCATTTCTGGTGTGCCCCGCCGTGATATTGCTGGAATATTGCTAAAAGCGGTGTAAAACCATACTCACTCACTCACTCTAATTTACAGGCTGACTTAATATACTGAACAAAATGAGTTAGGGATCATGAATATTTTGGGGGATATTTTTTGTATTGAAGACTTGAGGACACTATCATAAAATTGTCCCCAAAAATATTCATGATCTCTAACTTGTTTTGTTCAGTATATATCGTGGACATTTTTGAAACATTTCTCTAATGAGGGTGGCGGCAGCCCCAGTGGTGTAAGGCATCACATTCTGTGATTATGCCTTTGGACTGTGAAAATGTAATTGTGTGATTTCTGTTTAACATGAGTGACATTCTTTAAGCAATATCCAAGACTTGCTTTTGGCTTTCTTCACACATTAACCTCAACTGTAATATTACTGACCTGTTCAAAGAAGCCTTAAACTCATTCAGGGCACGGGTTCGAATCCTGGTTCGCTCTGATTTTGTTTCTAGGTTTGTCAGCACCATACCCGTGCTCGTGGGTTTCACCGAAGTGGTTAACGTCTGAGACCTGCATCACTTTGGGCTTTCCTCCCACATTAAGCTGACACTCCGTGATATAACTGGAATACTGTTAAAAGTGGCGTTAAACCCAACTCACTCACTCACTCAAACTCATAACAACCACTTGTCTATTGGTCAAAATTTCAAAGTTGTGTTGAAACTTGATCAATGATTGTAAATTGATAAAGAAAAAACTAGGTATAATGCATATAATTCTACATCCTCCTAGTGAAAAGATATTATACATTGAGGACAAACAAGTTGCAGGAAGAGTTGTGGGTGTTAAAACCATCTAGCAACAACACACTCCGCTTTGTCCTACGTTAGCTGATTCCACTTTCTGGCTGATGAAGCAATCACATTTACTCAGGTCACCTGGGAATCTTCCTCCAAAGGCAGTGTGTGCACCACACTGGTTTAAGTGAATGCAGGAATCCAACGTCACATCAGCAGTATTACAGTTGTGGGTTACAAGGAGTCCCTAGAGTAACCTGTGGCACCAGTGAAGATCCGGGGTTGAATAGGTCTTCAGCAAATGCGACTATGCTTGTCGTAAGAGGCGACTAACAGGATTGGGCGGTCAGGCTTGGTGACTTGGTTGATGCATGTCATCGTATCCCGATTGCCTGGATTGATGCACATGGTCCAGACTCTAATATTTACAGACTGCCACCATATGGCTGGGATATTGCTGAGTGCGGCTTTAAACAACAAACACAGCAATTATGCTGGTTGCAAGAGGCAACTTGGATTTAGTAACTTGCTTGATTGTGACTCATAAAAACCCTGACGGTGTGGGACATTTCTCCTAATATCAATCCCAGGTTTGACTGGCTCAGGCTTGATTGTTTATAGGCTGCTGTCATGGAATAACTAGAATATTGCTGATCGTAGTGTTAAACAACAAACTGACAAGGAAGGATGTGCAAGTAACGCAGTTCCTGGACATGACTCACCAGCACTGGCTTGACACTGTGGAATGAATGCATGGAAACTACTGCATCACACATACTGGAGTTCAATAAACACAATACACATGATTGGAAGACAAATTTATTCATTTTATTCATAACATATCATAAAGCAGGTGTCAATATTTCTCGGAAATAGTTTTTCTTTAGGCAGAAGTAAAAGTCTTACACTTTTAAGTGGACAAAGTAACCAGTATACACACAAAATATATTTTCCAAAGTATAACAATACAATAAAGTCATCAGAAACAGGTACAAACCATATTGCCTTTTTCAGAGTGTGATCAGTAAAATGTCCTTGATGTAATATTACAAACAGTCCTTAATAAACAGTTTAATCAGCTACCCTTGATAGATTTCATTATTTGAAAAAAAAGAAAAGATAAACATGATGTTCTAATTACAAGGAGCCAAGCACAGGAAGCAAGTCACTTTACCCCCTCTGTTTCTATGAGAATACTAAATACAGTTTTTCAAACACTGTTAACACATTAAGAATTGCAGTAATAATCATTTCATGAGAATGCTATCATTCTAAAACAAAGTCTGACATTTCCACTTACCAACTGTTTTGGAAGACTGTTACCTAATGTCAATAAACACCTATGAGCAATAGCCATATTAAAAAATAATAAAATAACTTTTGTTTTACTTCTACAAGGACAGTAAATATGATTTTTTAAGCAAAACTATTTCCCTAAAATTTAAGAGGATCTCTGTAATCAGCTATCAAATTATAGTCATCTTAGAGAATAAGTGTATACCAAATAAGGTCTTTTACTACCAGTGATGGTAGCAGCATCGGAGACAATTGTAGTTGGAAGACATGAACACGACTAGGTCGTGACTGGCCAATGGAAGCCTTATTTGATGTCCTCAAGGGACTCGATGTCAAGGACGAACTTGAAGCTGAAAGGGTTAAAGCTGTAGCCATCGCCGACATAGAACTTGCTCTGAAACTCCACCCTGTACACAAAAGAGAAAAGCAGTTTGGCGGTTGCTAGTTTGTAGATTCATGAGGGGATGAGTTGGGTTGAGTGCATTTTGAAAAGTATTTCAATGATCTATACAACTGTGTGTCTTCTAAATGTCAGAACAAAGTGATGCTGACTGTATGCATTGATCATTTCAGTTAAACCCTACAGTATGGGTAAGACACTAATGATTACAATGGGACTATAGCTGGGAATTGAACTCACTGCAGATCCAGGCCTAGCAAAGGGAGGCAACTCTAGACATTTAGATGAGGAACCCTGGACCACCCATTCAATAAAATATAAGACTCTTAACCTCAGATACAGATGCAACAGGAATATTTAATTGAGCAATGCACTCAATACGTTGTTGACCTGGTAAAACAACTTACCAGTGAAGACGGAGGGTGTGCAAGAAAGCAGACAGCCCCTCCATGACCAGCAGGACAGCAATGGTCAGATTGGCCCAGAATATCCACAAGACGAACACAATGACTGAACCAAACCATGGAATGTCCATTTTCAGTGCCAGGCTGAACACCATCTGCCATAGCACCTCCGACAGCTCTGTGGAAGACACCAGTTGTAGTTGGATACCACCCCATGAGGACAGCTTCGTTACATAATTGTGTAAAATTGGTATCAATCTGTTGTTAATTTGTGTAACTAGTTATTGTTTGATTAACTGGAAAGTCAGAAAACTTGACCACTTCACATACCTCAAAGATGTAAAGAGTGAGTGAGTATGATTTTACGCCGCTTTTAGCAATTTTTCAGCAATATCATGGCGGGGAACACCAGAAATGTGCTTCACACATTGTACCCATGTCGGGATTCGAACCCGGGTCTTCGGCGTGACGAGCAAACGCTTTAACCACTCGGCTATCCGACCGTCCCTGATGTAAAGAGTTATCTCCCATATCAAATGGCTGAAGTGATGCATTAGACAACAGGTCTTAGCTGGTTTACCAGTTCTCACAGTGGAGTTAGTGAGTGAGTGAGTGGGTAAGTGAGTATGGTTTTAAGCCGCTTTTAGCAATATTCGGGCAATATCACAGCGGGGGACACCAGAAATGGGCTTTAGAAATGGGCTTCACACATTGCACCCATGTCGTCTCACCGACCATGATCTGATGCGTCAGTACTCACGAGCATGAGCCAGACTGAGAGCCCACAGTCGGAGGTAGGAGGCAGTGTGGGAAATGCAGCCAAGGCAGAACTCGATGGTGTGGATCACTTGGTGGATGAAGATCTCGCCAAACTCAAACTGAAATAGGACAGCACATTCAAACATAACCACAAAATAAAGGTCTGTGCTAGATATTGGAAAGATGTCAACATTTGGAAATAAGTAAGTGACAAACTGCACTTAAAGGACATCCCCATCACACCTAAAGTAAGATTAACCTAAATATAAGATGAAGAAGAGAACCTGTCTCTATATACAGAGCAGCTGGACAGGACATAGCAAGCTGGAATCAGTATATGTACACTAAGCTACTTAGTCTGTCTCACAGTCCCTGAACCATATTACTCTCAATTTAATTGTAGATGCTTGTTTCTATCGAAATTATGTATTTTATTATAACTAAGTGTTAAGTTTATAGGCTAGTCAAAAGCCTTCCAAATGTACTAGTGCTTACATCGTCCTCAAAGTCTTCATCGGGAAGAAGAGAAGTTGTGGCGCCCTCAATATTCACGCTGATGTCTTTCTGTGAAACAGACTGTAATAGAAATAGTAACTGTCATAGCCATTTTCTTTCATGTTGTGTTATTACTTATTTTAACAGGGAAATGAAATGATTGATAAAGATAAAAGTCTTTAAAAAATATGCAAAAAGATCTATATTGAACCTCTGGACCACTTTAAGTTACAAGTAGTACATCTGATGAGTGCATGTATAGCTACTTGTCCCCAAGTAAGGGGGAAGTAAATAACTGCTGACATGTGCAACTTTATAATACTTCATCAATCAACTGTAAACATTTCTACCCTTTCAAATCTTTATGAATATCAATATATTCTATCAAGAATAGACAATGCATGCACTTATGCACTTACACATAATAAAAATTAAATATGAAAATAAATCATACTAATAATTATACTATTCATTCATGTTACAAGTCGAAAACTTCTAAATAAATAAATATATTCCTTCAAATAAGATGTTAATCAAACTGTTAATCAAATCAGATACATGCAATCTTTTTACAGCATGTTAGGGTTCAATATGTTCAGTTGGGCAATCCAGAAACAAGTTTTAAAGCATAAGACATGCAAAACTGTCACTTCAAGAAATTGTTTCATTTAGCTATGAAATATCTCCATTGTTACATTGTTAGAAAAAGAAAGCATGGTTATAACCTGAAAGAGAAATCGAGAGACAGACAAAGATAACTATACTCAAAGCTATTGAAAATGCAACTGCTTTTGATGAGGGCACTTGTGAAAAGAGCAATTGCCCAAACCTTTTTTAACATCATGATAGTGCTGTGAGGGATATGTGACCACCTGTGACAGTTCGGTTCAAGCCTCAGACCACCTTGGAGCAATTAGTCTGAATGTGAAAAACGCACTGAACACTACACTTCACAGAAACACAACTACTCTTCCTGGCCAAATGCTGCACGTGAAAAGCCAGATCACAGGTCCTTAAAAGCACACATGAAAAATGGTCATCGGTCACTTGTTCAATATGCCAAGACTCGTCCAAGCCAGCAGGAACCAAGCAATCGGAATGCTGCAAGAGTGAGTGAGTGAGTGAGTATGGTTTTACGCAGCTTTTAGCAATATTCCAGCAATATCACGGCGGGGGACACCAGAAATGGGCTTCACACATTGTACCCATGTCGGGAATCGAACCCGGGTCTTCGGCGTGACGAGCGAACGCTTTAACCACTAGGCTACCCGGCCACCCCGAATGCTGCAAGAAGGGGCAACTCAAGTGATCATCGCCAGACATTCAAACATCCATCAAGGCACAATAACTTGACTGTGGCATCGTTTCAACACAACAGGGGCAGATCGTCCGAGACCTGGTGCAGCACATGTGACGACACCTTGCAAAGACCGTCACATTCGTCTTTTGCACCTTCGGAACAAATTCCAAACAGTCGTAGATACAGCCAGGAGGACTTTTGGGACCCGTCAACAGCTGCATCAGCCCCCAAACTGGCTGCATTTGGCATAATGTGCCATCGACCTTATCAAGGCCAGATCAAGCTACACCGACACAGGCTTGCCATACAGCGATGGGCAGCTAGTGGGGGCTGTCTGCAGAATACAACATGGACATATGTGGTCTTCTCTACCGAGTCCCATTACAAACTCAGTTTTCCAGCTGGACATTGCCTTATCTATTGATGTAGGGGAAACCACTTCGCTGACAACTGTGTTTGAGACAGGGATCACTTTGGAGGAGGCAGTGTAATGGTATTGGGTGCCATCAATGCTCGTTTCTGGTCACAGTTGGTGGTTATCCAAGGCAACCTTAATGTTCAAGGTTATGAGAACAATATCCTCAACATGGCGCCCGATATCAGCTTGTCTTCCCACATGACAAAGCATGTCCACACACTGCAAGGGTCACGGGAGATTTTCTGACCCAGAACAACATGCGTGTGATTAACTGGCCTGCCACGTCACCTGACATGAATCCAATTCAACGCTTGTGGGTCGAGCTTGAGCGGAGGGATCAAACTCAACAGAAACCACCTCAGACAGGGGCAGGGTTGACACAGTCACTGGCAGAACATCCCACAAAGTTTCCTGAGGCATCTGTGTAAGTCCATGCCTCGGCGACTACAGGCATGCTTCAGAGCACAAGGTGGACATACCCAGCACTGATCCTCGGTGACCCCAGCTTTGTTCTGAGCCTCTGTGACGTCATCCACGGGTGTGTATTTTATGGACTTTATTGCAAACATTCCATTTGATGGTTTTGTTTGTCATTTTTGTTGGGTTTCATTTGGTTTTCTTTCACTGTTATAAAATACACAACATCTGAACATTGAATTGCGTTTTCAATGGCTTTGAGTCAATGTACCTTCAATATACACACAAAATGGTAACTTTTAAAAAGAATTCAGTCCGTTGATTCATGACCTACTGGAGGCAGAAGTCACAATCATAAAATAAAATTAAATATTTTTTATTTTCCCTACCACAATAAAATTGTGGTGCTAGTTTCAAGTAATCAACTTTTCCAGTTGGAACACTGTGTCTTTTTGATTGATGAACATGATGGAATTAAATGAATTCAATAGCAGAATGAAATGATGACATTACTTATACATTACATGGTATTACTACATAGTACATCACTGTATACTGACAAGATCAGTACGTGGATTTGTGACGTTCACAAATGCCTTATGCTATCAACATTCTAATTTCTATAAAACAAATTAAGATATCATAATCTTATACATATTATACAGACCTCAAAAGTTCAAAGACTGTCAGCAGAGTATTATAGAAATGTTAATAGCAACGAAATATGTGAGCTGAACAGTGAAGAATCTCTAAATGTTATGTAAACTATCAAAACAAAAATCAGTATTCGTGCAGCTCTATTATCTAAGCAGGAAACCAAGGTTTCCATGAGAGGATATTGTTACTATGGAAACATACTGCAGGTACTGAATCCCCGGCTTGACTAGTTGATGGCTGAAACAATCACACAGCTCAAAAAATAAAAATACACCTTAGTATTAATGGATTGTGTCTCTGTTATTCAGTTCTTTCTCTACAAGCTTCCTGTACTACACAGTCAGTGTTGATATTGTTAAAGAGCATAACAATTAAAAAATATATTAATTGTTCATTAGTTACAGTGAAACTGTAAGTGTAGTACTTTGAGCTGACATTGATCACATAGTGTACTTGATTCTCTGACTTGTGTAAGAGGGGTTAAAGCTAACACTACACCATGGGTTTTAGTAGAGCTAACATTCTAGAGCATGATCAGTGAAGCGGCATGAGTTCATAATGCACAATGATGACTGACAAAAGATTTCCATCACACCATAGAATGTTTTCCCACAAAAGTCATAATTAAACAACCTGGATCCACAAAGTATGTCCAGGGCCGACTTCCACAAAGCGATCTTAGCACTACGACTATTGTAAGCCTATGTTAAAGTATGGGAGTTACGATCATCTTAGAGCTAAGGTCGCTTTGTTCAATGGGGTCCAGAGAAATATTGAATCAATAATACCAAAGAGACCTATCTCTGTCACATGCAGTAGACTGACGCCAAACTGATGCTGACACTTCAAGTCATTGTCTGTTGTGATTCGGGCTGGCTGATCACCATGTCAAAATGAGCTCCTTGAGCCAATTGTAATGCTTTCATTCTGCTTTTACCTGCCTTAGTTTAGTATTTTATCCATATCTGAATGTAAGATTTGTGATTCTGTTAACATGTGCTCAGTGAATCCAGGGTTGATCAATCAGAATGTGGTGGTGATGATCTTGTTAGTCTAGTATGGAAAAAGGTTTCAACAAAATGTGATTTTACATGGTATATGGGGATGCTGTTTGACTTGAATGGTAAATGAGAACAATGTTTCTGACGACAAGTGTCACTGTACATGTGATATGGTGACAATGTTTCACTCTACATGGAATATGGTGACAATGTTTCTCTACATGGAATATGGTGACAATGTTTCACTCTACATGGCAAGTGGTGACAATGTTTCTGGTGACAATGTTTCTGGTGACAATGGTTCACTCTACATGGGAAATGGTGACAATGTTTCGCTTTACATGGGATATGGTGACAATGTCACATTCTACATGGGATATGGTGACAATATGGTCCACTCTACATGGGATATGGTGACAATGTTTCTGGTGACAACTGTCACTCTACATGGGATATGGTGACAATGGTTCACTCTTCATGGGATATGGTGACAATGGTTCACTCGACATGGGATATGGTGACAATGGTTCACTCGACATGGGATATGGTGACAATGTTTCACTTTACATGGGCTATGGTGACAATGGTTCACTCTTTATGGGATATGGTGAAAATGTTTCACTTTACATGGGATATGGTGACAATGTTTCAGTCTACATGGGATATGGTGACAATGGTTCACTCTACATGGAATATGGTGACAATGTTTCTGGTGACAATGGTTTACTCTACATGGGATATGGTGGCAATGTTCTACTCTACATAGGATATAAGTATCAGAAATGGAAGATATGATATAAGTGCATGTAATCAGATGCACAATACAACCTTGATTGTGATGACAATGATATATCATTATAATGGGATAAAATGTAGTGCACAAAAACTGTTATGGTGGAAACGCTTACAAATGATATAGATGATGCTGTTACAAATTTCAACCAAAGGAAATTTGATATCAAAGATGGAAAAAAAAAGCCAGCCATGCGGGCCAATATGATAAACAATATGTTAGCTAAAGATGATGACCATTTCTACTGCCTTTACATTCCTTGTCCATTAGGAAAGTTCTCCACTGTGCATCCCTATGAGGACATGCCGTCCAGTCAGAACAGTAGAATAAACTTGGAGCATAATAATCTTAACAGGACACGGACAACAAAGGTTTCTCATGCAGGAATCTGACTATAACTTCACACAAACAGCAAAGCTGGGAACAAACTAAAGCTGCTCACGCTCAGGGATACAAGCCGTTGTCTCTGTTACTTACAGAGAGGTCACGTGACCCAGAGCATTCAACTGACAGTTTCTTGGAACTTCCGGACGACATCCTGGAGAGCTCAGTGCTACACATAACGGACGAGCTCTGAGAAGGAATCACGATCAAATCACACGATTATGCCATTTGGCCACATGATAAACCTGTTCCAGCTATGAACAATGGTCTGTAGCTTAGGTGTGTGATAGTAAGAACCAAGATAACATGCTGGCAGACACACACACACACACAGGGAAACAGGCAGCATGCTCGTCTTTTGTCAGTCTCAGTTCCTGTGATGCATGCAAAGTTTTCACAGATGACACAATATGGAAACTGATTAGTTCCTAGTGCAGCTCCTATACCCAGGGATGAGAATGGATAATTTCCTTTTCAGCTGAAACATCTTTGCAATGGAGCGTGGTCCATAATTTGGGTGTGTTTATGGGGGAAGCCATCAAATTTTAACAAACATGTGGTCACTAAAATTTGTGGATCTGCGGAAGATTCTCATCCCTTTAAACCCTGACTATGTCAATTATTTGTGTATATTGTATCCTGTCCAAACAGGCATCAGATGTAAGAATAAAACAGCAACCCGTGTTATCCTGTGGCCAGAAATATTTCATGTGGACCATCAATTATTCACGTTTCCTATCTCAACTTTCTGCTTAATAGAGATGTTTAACTTTGTTACATAATTAAAGACAATTTGCAATTCTATCTCCATGTCTTGATCATTTTTGTCAGTCAGGATATTTTTCTCACTCTGGTATTCAAAACTAACGAAAATGAATCTAATATAATGTGGGTATAACACAAGACATTTAAGCAACCCTTCAATCTGAATACAGTGAGTGAGTGAGTTTAACTGGGTTTAACGCCGCTTTTAACAGTATCCCAGTTATATCGCGGGGTGTCAGCTTGATGTAGGAGGAAAGCCCGAAGTGATGCAGGTCTCAGATGTTTATCACTTTGGTGAAACCCATGGGCCTCCCATGCCCCCCAATCTGAATACAGCTTTGGATGCCAGTGGTGATACCTTCCTAGCATCTTCCATTGGTCACAGGCTAGAGATCTATGTTGTGGATACATGAGCTATTTCGAACAAAATCCTGAGATGGTATTAAAGGAATTATACACATGTATCCCACACAACCTATGTATGGGTCTAGTCTAGTAGTGGGACGATACACTGATGCATCGGTGGATCGTGCTTTTTTACTTCTCAATGCAAGTATCGATCACAGTCACAAAGTAAGTTAAAATATTGATTCTTACCTTGAATGTTTGCTTTCATAACTGTTACACCAAACACTAATTAGGTAGTGAAATCGTAAATATTTTCATCCATTGTGCCATACTTAACACTGCACACTGCTAGTGTGCCAGGTATTTGGCCATCCTGTCTATGAAAAAGATGGCTTATGCACCACAGATGCAGCACATGCAAGTTTCATGATATGTATAGGATTGTGAGCAAGGTATCATGATACGTATCGGATTGCACAGTTGGTGTATCGTCCCAGCCCTAGACAAGACACAGAGAGACTGCTGAGTAAGTTGTTCTCTATCACTACGCTGTATAGGAAACACTACCTAGATAACATAATAATTCATATAATAACTGTCTTATCTGATATTCTCTTATAATTAACTCACAAACTACTGCTGATATGTGTGATAATGAAGACCAAAGCTCTATCTATCCCCCCATCCCTCAAAGTATTATGTTTCTGGTTCCAGTCTGTGTTTCCACCCCCGATTCTTGACAGTGCAGGCCTTTCGGGCTTGGCCAAGTGCAGTTTAACTGTACCGCACAACTCTGTAGTGTATTACGACACTGTATAACTCTAGTGAATAAATGGAGTGTTTAACTGTACCGCACAACTCTGTAGTGTATTAAGACAGTGTATAACTCTAGTGAATAAATGGAGTGTTTAACTGTACCGCACAACTCTGTAGTGTATTAAGACAGTGTATAACTCTAGTGAATAAATGGAGTGTTTAACTGTACCGCACAACTCTGTAGTGTATTAAGACAGTGTATAACTCCAGTGAATAAATGGAGTGTTTAACTGTACCACACAACTCTATAGTGTATTAAGACAGTGTATAACTCTAGTGAATAAATGGAGTGTTTAACTGTACCACACAACTCTGTAGTGTATTAAGACAGTGTATAACTCCAGTGAATAAATGGAGTGTTTAACTGTACCGCACAACTCTGTAGTGTATTAAGACAGTGTATAACTCTAGTGAATAAATGGAGTGTTTAACTGTACCGCACAACTCTGTAGTGTATTAAGACAGTGTATAACTCCAGTGAATAAATGGAGTGTTTAACTGTACCACACAACTCTATAGTTTATTAAGACAGTGTATAACTCCAGTGAATAAATGGAGTGTTTAACTGTACCGCACAACTCTGTAGTGTATTAAGACAGTGTATAACTCCAGTGAATAAATGGAGTGTTTAACTGTACCACACAACTCTGTAGTGTATTAAGACAGTGTATAACTCCAGTGAATAAATGGAGTGTTTAACTGTACCGCACAACTCTGTAGTATATTAAGACAGTGTATAACTCCAGTGAATAAATGGAGTGTTTAACTGTACCGCACAACTCTGTAGTATATTAAGACAGTGTATAACTCCAGTGAATAAATGGAGTGTTTAACTGTACCACACAACTCTATAGTTTATTAAGACAGTGTATAACTCTAGTGAATAAATGGAGTGTTTAACTGTACCACAAACTCTATAGTGTATAAAGACAGTGTATAACTCTAGTGAATAAATGGAGTGTTTAACTGTACCACAACCTCTATAGTGTATTAAGACAGTGTATAACTCTAATGAATAAATGGAGTGTTTAACTGTACCACACAACTCTATAGTGTATTAAGACAGTGTATAACTCTAGTGAATAAATGGAGTGTTTAACTGTACCACAACCTCTATAGTGCATTAAGACAGTGTATAACTCCAGTGAATAAATGGAGTGTTTAACTGTACCGCACAACTCTGTAGTGTATTAAGACAGTGTATAACTCTAGTGAATAAATGGAGTGTTTAACTGTACCACACAACTCTATAGTTTATTAAGACAGTGTATAACTCTAGTGAATAAATGGAGTGTTTAACTGTACCACACAACTCTATAGTGTATTAAGACAGTGTATAACCCCAGTGAATAAATGGAGTGTTTAACTGTACCACACAACTCTGTAGTGTATTATGACAGTGTATAACTCTAGTGAATAAATGGAGTGTTTAACTGTACCACACAACTCTATAGTGTATTAAGACAGTGTATAACTCCAGTGAATAAATGGAGTGTTTAACTGTACCACACAACTCTGTAGTGTATTAAGACAGTGTATAACTCTAGTGAATAAATGGAGTGTTTAACTGTACCGCACAACTCTATAGTTTATTAAGACAGTGCATAACTCTAGTGAATAAATGGAGTGTTTAACTGTACCACACAACTCTATAGTGTATTAAGACAGTGTATAACTCCAGTGAATAAATGGAGTGTTTAACTGTACCACACAACTCTATAGTTTATTAAGACAGTGTATAACTCCAGTGAATAAATGGAGTGTTTAACTGTACCACACAACTCTGTAGTGTATTAAGACAGTGTATAACTCTAGTTTATTAATGGAGTGTTTAACTGTACCACACAACTCTATAGTGTATTAAGACAGTGTATAACTCTAGTTTATTAATGGAGTGTTTAACTCTAGTGCATAATTCTATAGTAAATTAATGGTACATAACGCTGGTTATAACTCTGGTTATATAATGTTGGAGGATGTTTCCCTCTTTCACAATGGTGGATGTTTTAATTTTCATGACAAGTAATGTTCCCCATAAATATTAATAAGCAGCTACATTGATAGTTGTCTTAACACTGTGGGATGAGAGCCTGACACTATCAGAAATCAATGTTAATTCTTTCCATATAACAAAGGGTCTGTTGGAGACAAACCTTTTTGTATCCTTTCCACATAAACATTGATGATTTTAAATGAAATTAATAAGCAAAATGATCTATGTCGATGCATATGCATTGGTAAAAAAAATCTTAAAAGCAATCTTAATGGGTTTTTTTTCAAAATAGCCATGATAGCTCTCTAAGCATATAGAATGCCTGGCATCATCTTACCAACTCCTCAATGTTATCTGCCCCTGCTGGCATTGGCTGCAATAAAGAGTCAGCTAATTTCAACAGCCCACCCTTGAAAACATTACAACTTACTGTGAAAATAGAAAGGCCAATAAATCAACATGTAAACACATACATCGATGTTGGGTTTATGAAACATGTAAATACTCATCATCTGACACATGTATGCCTCAACACTTGGATAGTGAGAAAGAGCCCTGGACAGGGATATACATCCCTGAACAGTGAGATAGATCCCTAGACAGTGAGATACATCCCTGGACAGTGAGATACATCCCTGGGCACTGAGATACATCCCTGTACAGTCAGATACATCCCTGGGCAGTGAGATAGATCCCTGGACAGTGAGATAGATCCCTGGGCAGTGAGATAGATCCCTGGGCAGTGAGATACATCCCTGGGCAGTGAGATAGATCCCTTGACAGTGAGATACATCCCTGGGCAGTGAGATAGATCCCTGGGCAGTGAGATAGATCCCTGGGCAGTGAGATACATCCCTGGGCAGTGAGATACATCTCTGGGCAGTGAGATAGATCCCTGGACAGTGAGATAGATCCCTGGGCAGTGAGATACATCCCTGGGCAGTGAGATAGATCCCTTGACAGTGAGATACATCCCTGGGCAGTGAGATAGATCCCTGGGCAGTGAGATACATCTCTGGGCAGTGAGATAGATCCCTGGACAGTGAGATACATCCCTGTACAGTGAGATACATCCCTGGACAGTGAGATACATCCCTGGGCAGTGAGATACATCCCTGGGCACTGAGATAGATCCCTGGACAGTGAGATAGATCCCTGTACAGTGAGATACATCCCTGGACAGTGAAATACATCCCTGGGCAGTGAGATAGATCCCTGGACAGTGAGATACATCCATGGGCACTGAGATACATCCCTGGACAGTGAGATACATCCCTTGACAGTGAAATAGATCCCTGGGCAGTGAGATACATCCCTGGGCAGTGAGATAGATCCCTGGACAGTGAGATAGATCCCTGAACAGTGAGATACATCCCTGGGCAGTGAGATAGATCCCTGGACAGTGAGATACATCCCTTGACAGTGAGATACATCTCTGGGCAGTGAGATAGATCCTCAGACAGTGAGATACATCCCTGGGCAGTGAGATAGATCCCTGGGCAGTGAGATACATCCCTGGACAGTGAGATAGATCCCTGGGCAGTGAGATAGATCCCTGTACAGTGAGATACATCCCTGGACAGTGAAATACATCCCTGGGCAGTGAGATAGATCCCTGGACAGTGAGATACATCCATGGGCACTGAGATACATCCCTGGACAGTGAGATACATCCCTTGACAGTGAAATAGATCCCTGGGCAGTGAGATACATCCCTGGGCAGTGAGATAGATCCCTGGACAGTGAGATACATCCCTGTACAGTGAGATACATCCCTGGACAGTGAGATACATCCCTGGGCAGTGAGATACATCCCTGGGCACTGAGATAGATCCCTGGACAGTGAGATAGATCCCTGTACAGTGAGATACATCCCTGGACAGTGAAATACATCCCTGGGCAGTGAGATAGATCCCTGGACAGTGAGATACATCCATGGGCACTGAGATACATCCCTGGACAGTGAAATAGATCCCTGGGCAGTGAGATACATCCCTGGGCAGTGAGATAGATCCCTGGATAGTGAGATAGATCCCTGAACAGTGAGATACATCCCTGGGCAGTGAGATAGATCCCTGGACAGTGAGATACATCCCTTGACAGTGAGATACATCTCTGGGCAGTGAGATAGATCCTCAGACAGTGAGATACATCCCTGGGCAGTGAGATAGATCCCTGAGCAGTGAGATACATCCCTGGACAGTGAGATAGATCCCTGGGCAGTGAGATAGATCCCTGGGCAGTGAGATACATCCCTGGGCAGTGAGATAGAGTCCTGGGCAGTGAGATACATCCCTGGGCAGTGAGATAGAGTCCTGGGCAGTGAGATACATCCCTGGACAGTGAGATAGATCCCTGGACAGTGAGATTCATCCCTGGACAGTGAGATAGATCCCTGGACAGTGAGATAGATCCCTGTACAGTGAGATAGATCCCTGGACAGTGAGATAGATCCCTGGGCAGTGAGATAGATCCCTGGGCAGTGAGATAGATCCCTGGGCAGTGAGATAGATCCTCGGACAGTGAGATACATCCCTGGGCAGTGAGATAGATCCCTGGGCAGTGAGATAGATCCCTGGACAGTAAGATACATCCCTGTACAGTGAGATACATCCCTGGACAGTGAGATACATCCCTGGACAGTGAGATACATCCCTGTGCCACTGTACTAAAGGTTTAATCTCACTTGTGATGTCATTGCCTACATATATTTCATTGCATAACTATGTAGAGCTACTTCAGTAGTACTTTGGCTGTTTAGATACCTTTAGAGAACCTGAAGTCTCAAATGATGACTTGACATACTGATCAATACGTAAAAATAAAACAGCTAAAATACCAAAGTGCTACTTTATTTAAACGATTATTTGTCCGAATCTAAATCTAAATCTAAATCTGAATATATTTCTATAGTAAAAGCAGCTAAATCTAACTCTGAATCTGAATATATTTCTACAGTAAAAGGAGCAACTAATATAACAAGATAATATAGTATGTTATTTCTGGTACAATAAATAGTTTCAGACATAATTTCTTCTAATCACTCATAATTGAACTATGTAGAGCTACTTCAGTAGTACTTTGGCTGTTTAGATACCTTAAGAGAACCTGAAGTCTCAAATGATGACTTGACATACTGATCAATACATACAAATAAAACAGCTAAAATACCAAAGTGCTACTTTATTTAAACGATTATTTGTCCGAATCTAAATCTAAATCTAAATATATTTCTATAGTAAAAGCAGCTAAATCTAACTCTGAATCTGAATCTATTTCTACAGTAAAAGCAGCAACTAACATAACAAGATAATATAGTATATTATTTCTGGTACAATAAATAGTTTCAGACATAATTTCTTCCAATCACTGCATTAATATTCTCTTAAGTTGTTATGTGGTCATGTTTTAACTGAATCCCTGGTAGATCACGGGAGAAATGTGTGTACAGCTGAATGCTATTTCCGTTTAATACTACAAGATGCAGACATTATACAAACTCCATTTCCTTGTCATAGGTGGCTAATACAACTGAATTTATGAGTTTTTATTCAATGAAAAAAAATTGTTTTGTGTTTTCATGGAAAGTTGAAAATATTTGGTTGAAAGTGTTGCAAAAGTCCAATATAATTTGAGTGCTGATAATTTTTGATTCACTGACTATGCAACTGCATTGCAACACCACCAGTTTATAGGTAATATTAGTATCCACTGTTCACACAGAGCGACTACCTCGTTCTTATAAGGTGGCTCTGTCAACACATATGAGGCAGAGACTGTTTCAGGTTCTATCCAACCAGAAAGACATATACTTGTTAACTTGTTAATCTGAATTGATTGTAGCCTTGTAGCCACCTTTATTTATTTATAAGCACAAATGATTGTCTAGAATGCTGGCACGGTATGTCAAACATTGTGACGATGTTTTGATAATACCACTAAAGCCTAAAAGTAACGAAAAGACACTAACAATAGCGGAATACATTTCTCAATGGTAGCTGTCATCATTACAAAGTTTCAACATTGGTATTCATGTACAGAATTAGGAGTCCTGTTGAGCCAAGATCTCCTAGTAAGCCAGTAATGGCATGGATGTTGATCAATTTCTGGGGTGAATCAAGGTCAAAATGACCTGTTACTGTGTAGGTCACAATAAGCTCTTGCTGCAAAGAAATGCACAGTATAGGGAATATATTTGCCAAACATCATTATATATTAGCTACATATACCACCACCCAAACTGCTACTGAAACAAATGAGGATAACTTAAAGGGGAATTTGATTGCATCCCTTAAAGCAAAAACACAAATATTTAGTAACACAGACCACAGAGAACATTTAACAACATAGACCTCGAGTACCATATAAGGAAGCTACACTACTGGTTATATAGGAGGCTGGCTACTGTCTAAGTCTGGCAAGCTATGGTTATACTGTACTAGGTTGTAGACATGGCAGGAAATACTGTCCAGTTCGGGGAGAATCAAACCAGTTGAATCTTCATGATTTACATTAAACTTCAATTATTTCTATTTTGATAACATTCTATGTTCCATTTTTTATCATCCCTGGCAAAGTTATGATCTTTTTATATTGACTAAATGACATGAAGATATTTTTTTACAGAATTCTGTTGACATGGTATTTCCTGCCTTTGCTGGTCTCCTTCCCAGGTCATGACCTTAACCTGAGAATGAGGCTGAACAGATCGTGCCCCCAAAGATGGCACAGACTTGAAGCATGCACATGTTGCACAGCCATGCCGACTTACCCCAAGTTCGATATCACCTTCGCCATCGGCTTTCAAATCAGCATTCGGTTTACGCGGAACCCCATTACCGGCTGACTGTACCAGAATTTAATAGTTAAGCAATTTACGTGCACCGCAGGAACATTTGAAACCCATGCTTAGCTAGTCAGGACAGATGTAACCAGAATGGGGGATCACAACCATCCACACAGAAAACAAGACATAGCAACCTGCCATATATTACCATTCAAGGTAATAAAATTCTTTTTCTTTTCTAAAATCTACAATAGGTAATATGTAAAATCACCTACTCAAGACTCAGCATTTCAGATTCTCAACGATGGCACCATCATCAGGTAGGTATGCAACTCATGTGTCAGCTTGGCAACTCAAACCTCTACAGCCACACAAAACTATATACTAGCTGCAGTTGGTTAATGATTTTAAACCAAACAGTGACTGACATTTCAAGCTCAAACACCAAATAATTAATACAAGTTCTCCTTTCTCTAGCATTCAAATAAATACTTTATTTTTTGGTACAAATCATTTGGCAGGGATAAACAAGGCCACTAGTCTGTTAGTCCAAGTCTAGTAAAATCTAAAGGGACTAGTTGTTCTCCCAAGATGTCTTCCCCTGTTCAGGCCAAAACAGGTATCGATTAACATGCAAGGTATGTTCGTGTACACCAAACTGTTCTAATCATTCCGCACAAAATATTACCACAGAACTACTGATTCATAAATAAGACGATGCATCGACTACTGGTTGTCCACTGAGAAATGATCATGCAGAGAGACAGAGTAGAGAGAGGGCTTTTGTCTTATAGACGACAAAACCATGTGTTGATGTTGGCAGTATCATGGATAAAAATATCACAGCAAAAAACTAAACAAGAAAAACATGAATGAGTAAATACTTACATTTTCCCCAATAATTTCATTTGGAATAAGAGCATCTGTGGAGTGAGCACCAAGGCGCCCTCTCATCTGAAATGTAATACTTTCCTTAAAACTTGTTATATCAGGTGATGACAATACAAATTTCGATATCCCAATAAATCAGTAATGAACACATTACTTGTGTTATGTTTCAGCGGAGCTCCATTTATCCAGTTACCTGTTTTTGTAAAATCAATGTCCTTATGAATGTTAATTGTTAATACATTATGCTGAAAATATGAAAAAATGTGATCAACATGTCTAGAACTCCTGTCACACAAAAATGAAACAAAATAAAAATAATACAAGCCCATCTCCTTTCTTTGTATACTTATCAGAATAATACTTAATAATGAAAAATATGTGTCTGACAATTATTATGCTACTATTGCTAGTTTGGGCAGGAATAATGACATCCACAGATGATACAAGTGAAAACACAAAATTACTTATTTGAAATAAACACAAAATGTGCATTTACACAATGTTCTATAGTTGATCTAGGTAAGTTTGGTCCTCGACTGTTTTTTTTGCAATATTCCAGTCATATCATAACATGCGACACCAAGAATAGGCTTCACATGTGGAGAATCAAACTACAGTCTTTGGTGCAGTGAGCATTAATGACAAGGCTACTCCAACATCTTCATAGTTATTATAAGCGCACCTATGTGTAGAATGGAACCCAGGTCCTTTGGTGCAAGGAGACAATGCCTCAACCATAAGGTTACCCAACACATCTTCACAGTTCCTATTAGTGCACCTATACAGTAATCTTAATCTCTGCATATAAAACAATGCCTTGGAAAGCAGGAAATACATTTTAAATGGTAAATCATCATGTCTAGTGATGCTTTATATCAAATTTCATACTTATATTGTCCAAGTTCGTTATACTTGTTTATTCACCTGAATTCGCTGAACGGATACGATGTTGTTTTTTAAAGCGCATATTAATACTCGATAATTATTTTTTTACACTATGAATCATAAATAACTTCTATTCTAATCTTTTTTGAAACTCTGAAACGTGCAACGTAGATCGTATTAGGTAGGCAGAGCACGTATACTGTTTTGTTGGTCATCTACGATTCGACCTTCATTAAACCGCTGATCATCTATAACGCTCATCAATTTTTTGGACCCCGAAAGGTAGCGTTGTAGCTAGGGAGTGAGTATGGTTTTACGCCGCTTTTAGCAATATTCCAGCAATATCACGATGGGGGACACCAGAAATGGGCTTCACACATTGTACCCATGTCGGGAATCAAACCCGGGTCTTCGGCGTGACGAGCCAACGCTTTAACCACTAGGCTACCCGACCGCCCCTTGTAGCGAGGGATCACTGTATAATGTATGTGGAGAATGGAACCAAGGCTAATGTTTCAACTACAAAGTTACACCAAGGTCATTATTGCTCTGGAAGTGCACCCATCCAAGACAGCATCCCAACAAGGGTTCTCTTCACACTCGCATTCAGTTCCTAATTATGGTTTGGTTGGTTTGGTTTGGTTTGTTGTTTAACGCCGCACTCAGCAATATTTCAGCTATATGACGCCGGTCTGTAAATAATCGAGACTGGACCAGACAATCCAGTGATTAATATCATGAGCATCGATCCACACAATTGGGATCAATGACATGCACCAACCAAGTCAGCGAGCCTGACCACCCGATCCCATTAGTCGCCTTTTACGACAAGCATAGTCACCTTTTACGGCACGCATGGGTTGCTGAAGACCTATTTTATGTCAACCATGACAGTAAGAACTGATCAAGCATGTTTCAATTGTTAAAATTGTTCATTGTTATACTTATTATTGTGGATGTATTTTACGAAATATCAGCATCCATATTATTCATGTTTTGGTGAGTCACCTTTCTGAAATAACAAATACATATATTCATTTGGGTGGTGTAACATAGAATACAATGCCAGCTGTTCATAGCGAACACGTTCCCATTGCAAACTGGTGGTCTAACAGTTTGCCCGATTCAGGTGTTATAAGCCTTGAAGCAACAGATGAGCTAAGGTTGAACATAATAAGCATGACCAAATTCATTTCCAAACAAGTTTACTTTATTCTACCATGAAATGGAAAATACTTCATTCAGATTGAATAATCTGAGGTTTCAAAACACCTGTACCACCTCTGTTTGAAACAGTTGGTTTGACAGCAGACTCGCTGGGGAAGCTAATATTTTTGGCATTATTTGTTTAAGGGGCTAGCATGAACCCTATGAAAATAATGGACTAAACACAATGCTGCTTTTCTCAATAACTTTGCTGTTACCAAAGAGTTCGCATTAAATTTCATCATGGTAGAATGGAGATAAACACAGTTTTTCAATGTAGAACTAGGTTACCTGTAGATTTAAAAGTGCTTAATTTAACATTTGAAACCTCACACTGCATGTTGGGTTCCAAATTCAATTTAGCACGGCTCAATCTACAGGTAACTTAGCTCTACATTGAAAACACAGTGTGTTTATCCCCTAAGTGAACCATCTCAATAATTGACACAAAACTGATCAAACACTGAATGAAATTGTTTGTCTCTCTTGCATAACATAAAACGAAATGACTTGTTTTGACCCTGAAACAAAAGCTGTTAAACAGTTTCTAAGGCAGCTAGCTGTTTACTAAGGAGGCTAGATACAGTAGCAGAGTATACATACATTTACAACCAACAGACACCTTTCGTCAGCAACAGCACTATACATAATATGAGCATCTGAAAACTACTGTTAATGGCTGAATAATTTAAATTCGAATATATGGAAATGCTAATCATATATTTAGAAATTGTATAATATACATATATACAGGAATATTTTAAGTTTATGTCTAATAGATTTCCAAAATACCAATTCCACATTGACAGAAGCTAGAGAAATATATTTCACTTGATACTGTCATGTACCATATAATTTAATTTTTAAGATTTAAAAAAAATTCACAAGAATTAAAAATGCTTTTTCAGTATTCTAAAGAATGGGTTTTCAACAAAAAGCTAAAATTGTTTAGAGATGCTACAAAATGTTTCTATGTGTATAACGCATTCACTACAACTAGTAATACTTACAGCTTCAATCTCCTAAAACACATCAAAACTCACCAGTCAAACTCATGCCCAAAGCAAAACAAACCCCAACAATATGCTTTGTCATGCCCATGCAAAAACATATGGACAAAGTTAGCAACAGGAAACAAATTACAACCTCCATGTTAGTAAGATAATATGACATGTCTATAGTACACAGGGTAAATGTAAGGTTAAAGTATACACTAAAGGATTGGGTCATGCGGGTTGATATTTCTATCTAAATACGTCATGTCAAACTAAAGGAAAAGCACAATGACAAGTCATTTTGAAAACAGCAAGGGCTGTATTGTTGCACATCATACATTGATTAAGATGCTGCTGACAGTGCTAGGTGGGGAATCTGCTCGCACATGAAACAGTGGTGTCACTATCAGCAGCATGTATCAAGGAATGAGGGTGGATATCTTGAGAGAAAATTAAGCTTACATTTTTCCATAAATAAGAATTTGGTGGAGATAAAATATTTCTGTTATAATGTGCCCCAAACGTGTGATAGAAAAAGTAATAAAAACTCAATCCAATGTGATCTTACAACATAAAGTTACAGTGTTCCCTCGCTACTGCGCTCTTCAATAAAGTGCTAACTCGGTTATAGCGGGCGGTAACGCAAGGCCCCCAAAAGTTACGAGCATTTAAAAAAAACTCAAGTTTTACACTGACATAATGTTTTTTCCCCATTGCGAAAAAAACATTACCAGCTGATCTTCACGAGCAAGTAATCCCAGAAATACCACTCAACAATTCTAAACTGAAGTACGCTATTTAATCCGATTATTGCACTATCTGCTTACAAAAACGTGTTCATTGTATATCTGGACTCATGTTTGTAATATAGATCATGAAAGGCAGGCTGAGCATGTTGTGTTGGTCATCTACCCCTACCCCCTACGACATGGTTAAACCTCTGATTGTCCATAACGCTCATCAACTATTTGGACCCCAAGGTAGCGTTGTAGCGAGGGATCACTTTATTTATGATTTTCTACTTCGTTACCTTCTATTTTATGTGCTACAAGTGACTGATCTAAACTTCTAGTATTGTGAAAGACAGTTATAGTAATACAACAAGTAAACTATGTTAACACAGAACAGGGGGGGGGGTCAGTTTTCAATGAACACCTAGAAAATTATATTTATATTTATCAGAAGAGTCAATGCATCATTCTACCATGAACCTGGCAAATACTTGAATCTGATTGGTCAGTCAGAGGTTTCAAATCACAATAGCCATATCTGAATGAAACAGCTGATTCAACATTTGAATCTTCCAATTGCACCTTCGGTTCCAAAATCAGTTTGCCAAATTGAACCAGTAAGGTCGTGTGTCTTGCCGCAAGGCTTCAATGCACACGAACGTATAAATGATCAGATGCTTGATACTTTGACAATCCATCAGTCAGCAAATGTGAGAAAACTAAAGAAGAAATTGTCAAAGTAGGCGACTGTCTTCGTACAACTCACCCTCAGTTTTTTGTTATGTCGGGATCTTAGGACGAAGGGTTTGACTAACAACATCACTGGCACACAAGCAACAGCAGCCACCAACAGGATTGTCTGGATAGTTTGCTGCAACACAAACATCACTATACCATGTAGAGCAAGCCTTTCTGGAAAGACATCCTGGGGACATGTATATATTAATACAGCAACAACTATTTGGTTGAAATCAAAGTTTGCTGAAATAAAATTCACACTAAATAACCTAGTCCCAACCAGAATTTGTTATACCATAGGATACCCATGTGAAATTACATATAATTTTTTAGTGAATGTCCATTTTTCAACTTAGCTAGAAACGAATTGATGTACTCACTATTGTTAATTGTGAAAGATACTTGTGTCTTTAATATTGACTTGATGCTAGATGGCAAAACAACTTTACCTAATCATGTGAACGAAAAGATTGTTAGGAATGTACATACATATATAATGGGGCAGTGGGGTAGCCTAGTGGTTAAAGCGTTCGCTCGTCATACCGAAGACCCAGGTTCGATTCCCCACATGGGTACAATGTGTGAAGCCCATTTCTGGTGTCCCCTGCCGTGATATTGCTGGAATATTGCTAAAAGCGGCGTGAAATCATAATCACTCACTCACACATATATAAAGAAAACGAAAAAGGTTTGAGTGAGCAGTGTTAATGTACATACGTTTCTCTATTTCTATTCTTTCCTTTCTGTCATTTAATGTATTAATTGTAAATAAGCATACATGTAAAAGTATGGGAGAGGCCGACATAAGCTGTGATAACTAGAAACTGTACCTGTCCCTTGTAGAAGGGTAACTGAGCATTACACTTCTGGTCTCCATCGGCTGTGTACTTGAACATGAACATGTTGATGTACTCTGAAATACAAACAAAATACTGAGGGAGTGAGTGAGTGAGTGAGTGAGTGAGTGAGTGAGTGAGTGAGTGAGTGAGTGAGTCAAAATTGAATGTTGTATCAGCAAATTCTCAGCCATATAGTTATGAGATCAAGTTATGAAGACATCATTCCACATCAATGCAGGTCCCATATTTAATGAATAATCTGTGAAAGGCAAAAAAACTCCCAAAACGTTGCTTTTGTAATATAAACACAGTGAGTTATGACGAACATACGGATGAGGAGCGCAGGTGCGCAGCTGGCCTGGCTGACATCAAATGTTATCCACTTGAAGTAGACGAGGGAGACGAGGTAGCCGAAGAGGCTGAGGAGGAAGATGACCTCAGGGATGAACTCCACCAGGATGTTCAACACACTCCTAAAGTGGCTGCAACACACATGGACACACAAAGGTGTATCAAATTATTTTCTCATGGGGAAATATTGGACGGAAACAGCAAACAACGTTAAAACAGTGTTTTAGTCACATCACAGCATAATGTGGGGAAAGAGACAAAGGTTACACAGGTTGATGGCATTTACGCTTTGGCAAGAACCCATGAGTACATATATGGTCCTCACAGACCACAAAATATAATTAAGACCAATCTGGGACTTGAATGCAATATCAGCAGATCCTGGAATGGCAAAGGGAGGCAACACTGGACCCTGAGATGCATTGGCTGAGACCAGCGGATCACCTGGACGCCTTGTTTGTAATGACATTAATCCCATAAATGTGACTCACATGTGGTTGAAGATGCCCAGAATGATGCCGAACAACATCTGGGAGATGCCCAGGATGACAGCCGTCTTCATCTTAAAGGAGTTGAGGAACGTGATCTTGTTGTCAGATAACTGCCAAATCTGTCAAAACATCAAAACAAATTAATAGATACCAAGTTTATACCTGTACTGGTATTTGAAAACAAGAAACAGTAAGAGCAGAAAAATAATTAGGTCATGGATCTACAATAACTGAAATCGATATTTTGTCAACTCTAAACAAAGCGGTATTTTGGTCCTACATCAGTTAAAGTTTCTCTTAACATCTCTGCTTCTTGTGGTTTCTTAACTTTCTGGCATGAACAAATCTGAATCCCATTGTGTTGCAAGACATCATATCAATGTTTTCGATTCCTAGACTTCATGGTATTTTACATTGTTTTTGTTTTCTAAGAGTACAAATATGTTTAGGTGTCATCATGCTCATTACCTTTGGTGAAGGAATACTACCGTCATGTTTCAGTGTATCATGTTATTTGTTAGCATATCAAATGGCTCTAGAAAGTCAGTGTTATAAGATCTTACTGGATCAATGCCGAGTGGGTAGGGTGTGCTATTCCTGAAGAACAGGGCTGGGTCTAACGTCAGCTCAATGTCTGGCACCTCAAGCAGGCTCTCTCTGCGGGAAAATGGCAAATGAGTGTGAGATAAATTGTGTCTATCACAAACAGTATTTCAGTTGTATCATCTTAAATGCGAAGAAAACACAGATAAGAATGGAAAAAGTTTGGGAAGACAAGCACACAGCGGGTTTGTTCGTTGTTTTACAGTGAGGTCAACATTATTCCGGCAATATAACAGTGAGTGGTGAGTTGGGTTTAACACAGCTTTGAACCGTATTCTAGTTATATCACAGCATGTCAGTTTAATGTGATGAAGGTCTCAGACATTTATCACATTGGTCAACATGGTCAAACCCTTGAGGACAGGTATGGTTCTGACAAACCTAGAAACTTTATTGGGGAAAACCAGGATTGGAATCCAATCATCACAGGTTGCTGGTGTGCCCAAGGGACATAACTCTGCACAGTGAAATGTGCACCTTAGACCAGAAAAATATAACAGCAGCCTGTAAACAATCAACTCTGGGCCAGGCAAACCTCACACTCCCAGGGTTGAATGACATATATGTCAGCTCTTCCTTGCAACAACATTGTAGTGCATAGAAACAACCTTATGGGAGGAAACAACAATGTAAAACTCTTAAGGAATTAGATTTATGAATGTCAGCTTCTTTGTTATGAAGAACACAACGTTTTGGAGCATATGCTTACACCTTCATCATGCGAACGAATCCTAGGAAGCAGAAAGCATATATTTGTACATGTAAGAGCAACAACAGTAATAACATAACAAAGGTGGAACTTTAACAAGGGAATCAATCAGTTAATTAGCCCTGATAGGTAATTAGCAATAAACAGTTGAAGCCAGGAGTTGACCATGATTGGTAATAAGCAATGGACAAAAGGGAGGCAAGGGGTAATTAGCTCAGATAGGTAACAGCAACAGACAATACAATGAACTCACTTGTAATCCTCATTACGCCATGCTGATCCAAAGATGTTGAAGCTCTTAGAGAATGCATCGTTGTAGATGACCCCGGTGTAGGTGGAGAAGAGACCCATCAGAGTGATAATGTAACGACCACCAAAGAAGGTGTTCCAAATCTGAAAGAGTGAGTGTATGAATGACACAGTTGTTCACAACACTGGCTTTAAAAGGAGAGGACTTGTGTGGATTTGATATGAGTGGAGTAGAGTGGAGTGGAGCGGAGTGGATTTAGGTGTAATGAATTTGAGTGGAGCAGAGTGGATTTAGGTGTAATGAATTTGAGTGGAGCAGAGTGGATTTAGGTGTAATGAATTTGAGTGGAGCGGAGTGGATTTAGGTGTAATGAATTTGAATGAAGCGGAGTGGATTTAGGTGTAATGAATTTGAGTGGAGCAGAGTGGATATAAGTGTAATGAATTGAGTGGAGTGGACTGGATATAAGTGTAATGAATTTGAGTGTAATGAATTTGAGTGGAGTGGAGTGGAGTGGAGTGGAGTGGAGTGGAGTGGATTGGAGCGGAGTGGAGGGTAATGAATTTGAGTGGAGCAGAGTGGAGTGGAGTGGAGTGGAGTGGAGTGGAGTGGAGTGGAGTGGAGTGGAGTGGAGTGGAGTGGAGTGGAGCGGCGTGGAGTGGTGTGGAGTGGAGTGGAGTGGAGGGGAGTGTATGTGAGCGGAGTGGATATTAGTGTAAGGAATTTGAGTGGAGCACAGTGGAGTGGATATTAGTGTAAGGAATTTGAGTGGAGCACAGTGGAGTGGATATTAGTGTAATTAATTTGAGTGGAGTGGAGTGGAGTGGAGTGGAGTGGAGTGGAGTGGAGTGGAGTGAATTTGAGCGGAGCACAGTGGAGTGGATATTAGTGTGATGAATTTGACTGGAGTGGATTGTGGGAGCAACAACAAACAACAAAAAGTAGGTCATAGATGTTTCCCAGAAGCATAGGGAGATAGCAAGCAAGGACCAGAAACATCGAATCTGGTATCAGTGGATCCTGGCCAATCTAATGGATGTAGCTCTGTACCAGACGTTGTGGCACTCAGGCCTGTGCAGCAACCCATACCTCCTTAAATGTTATAAGCCATGGCTAACAGCCTTGTGGATGAGCTAAGTATGGTATAAGATGCTCACCTCGTTGTCCGACTTCTGGGCCAGGAGCTTCTTCTCACTGATGATCATCCACAGCCCGAACATGAACATGATGCTTCCATGGCCAGCATCACCAAACATCACGGCAAACAGGAACGGGAAGGTGATGATAGCATATGGAGCTGAAATCACCACCAGTCTCACATGAAACTGAACCGACTAGTACTTGTCACATGAAACTGAACCGACTAGTACTTGTCACATGAAACTGAACTGACTAGTACTTGTCACATCAAACTGAACCTACTAGTACTTGTCACATGAAACTAAACCTACTAGTACTTGTCACATGAAACTGAACCTACTAGTACTTGTCACATCAAACTGAACTGACTAGTACTTGTCACATCAAACTGAACCTACTAGTACTTGTCACATGAAACTGAACAGACTAGTACTTGTCACATCAAACTGAACCTACTAGTACTTGTCACATGAAACTGAAAAGACTAGTACTTGTCACATCAAACTGAACCTACTAGTACATGTACTTGTCACATCAAACTGAACCTACTAGTACTTGTCACATGAAACTGAACCTACTAGTACTTGTCACATGAAACTGAACCTACTAGTACTTGTCACATGAAACTAAACCTACTAGTACTTGTCACATGAAACTGAACCTACTAGTACTTGTCACATCAAACTGAACTGACTAGTACTTGTCACATCAAACTGAACCAACTAGTACTTGTCACATGAAACTGAACCTACTAGTACTTGTCACATGAAACTGAACCTACTAGTACTTGTCACATCAAACTGAACAGACAAGTACTTGTCACATGAAACTGAACCTACTAGTACATGTACTTGTCACATGAAACTGAACCTACTAGTACTTGTCACATGAAACTGAACCTACTAGTACTTGTCACATGAAACTGAACCTACTAGTACCTGTCACATGAAACTGAAAAGACTAGTACTTGTCACATCAAACTGAACCTACTAGTACATGTACTTGTCACATGAAACTGAACCTACTAGTACTTGTCACATCAAACTGAACCTACTAGTACTTGTCACATGAAACTGAACCTACTTGTACTTGTCACATGAAACTGAACAGACAAGTACTTGTCACATGAAACTGAACCTACTAGTACTTGTCACATGAAACTGAACAGACAAGTACTTGTCACATGAAACTGAACCTACTAGTACTTGTCACATAAAACTGAACAGACAAGTACTTGTCACATGAAACTGAACCTACTAGTACTTGTCACATGAAACTGAACCGACTAGTACTTGTCACATGAAACTGAACCTACTAGTACCTGTCACATGAAACTGAACAGACTAGTACTTGTCACATCAAACCGAAACCTACTAGTTCATGTACTTGTCACATCAAACTGAACCTACTAGTACTTGTCACATGAAACTGAACCTACTAGTACTTGTCACATGAAACTGAACTGACTAGTACTTGTCACATCAAACTGAACCTACTAGTACTTGTCACATGAAACTGAACCTACTAGTACTTGTCACATGAAACTTAACCGACTAGTACTTGTCACATGAAACTGAACCTACTAGTACTTGTCACATGAAACTGAACCTACTAGTACTTGTCACATCAAACTGAACAGACTAGTACTTGTCACATCAAACTGAACAGACTAGTACATGTACTTGTCACATCAAACTGAACCTACTAGTACATGTACTTGTCACATGAAACTGAACCTACTAGTACTTGTCACATCAAACTGAAAGACTAGTACTTGTCACATGAAACTGAACCTACTAGTACTTGTCACATGAAACTGAACCTACTAGTACTTGTCACATGAAACTGAACCTACTAGTACTTGTCACATGAAACTGAACCTACTAGTACTTGTCACATGAAACTGAACAGACAAGTACTTGTCACATGAAACTGAACCTACTAGTACTTGTCACATAAAACTGAACAGACAAGTACTTGTCACATCAAACTGAACCGACTAGTACTTGTCACATAAAACTGAACAGACAAGTACTTGTAACATGAAACTGAACCTACTAGTACTTGTCACATGAAACTGAACAGACTAGTACTTGTCACATGAAACTGAACCTACTAGTACATGTACTTGTCACATCAAACTGAACCTACTAGTACATGTACTTGTCACATGAAACTGAACCTACTAGTACTTGTCACATGAAACTGAACCTACTAGTACTTGTCACATCAAACTGAACCTACTAGTACTTGTCACATGAAACTGAACCGACTAGTACTTGTCACATCAAACTGAACCTACTAGTACTTGTCACATCAAACTGAACAGACTAGTACTTGTCACATCAAACTGAACAGACAAGTACTTGTCACATGAAACTGAACCTACTAGTACTTGTCACATAAAACTGAACAGACAAGTACTTGTCACATCAAACTGAAAAGACTAGTACTTGTCACATAAAACTGAACAGACAAGTACTTGTCACATCAAACTGAACAGACTAGTACTTGTCACATGAAACTGAACAGACTAGTACTTGTCACATCAAACTGAACCTACTTGTACTTGTCACATCAAACTGAACCTACTAGTACTTGTCACATGAAACTGAACCTTCTAGTACTTGTCACATGAAACTGAACCTACTAGTACTTGTCACATCAAACTGAACCTACTAGTACTTGTCACATGAAACTGAACCTACTAGTACTTGTCACATCAAACTGAACCTACTATTACTTGTCACATGAAACTGAACTGACTAGTACTTGTCACATGAAACTGAACCTACTAGTACTTGTCACATCAAACTGAAATGACAAGTACTTGTCACATGAAACTGAATGGACTAGTACTTGTCACATCAAACTGAACTGACTAGCACTTGTCACATCAAACTGAACTGACTAGTTCTTATCACATGAAACTGAACAGACAAGTACTTGTCACATGAAACTGAACCTACTTGTACTTGTCACATCAAACTGAACCTACTAGTACTTGTCACATGAAACTGAACCTTCTAGTACTTGTCACATGAAACTGAACCTACTAGTACTTGTCACATCAAACTGAACCTACTAGTACTTGTCACATCAAACTGAACGGACTAGTACTTGTCACATCAAACTGAACCTACTATTACTTGTCACATGAAACTGAACTGACTAGTACTTGTCACATGAAACTGAACTGACTAGTACTTGTCACATGAAACTGAACTGACTAGCACTTGTCACATCAAACTGAACGGACTAGTACTTGTCACATCAAACTGAACCTACTAGTACTTGTCACATCAAACTGAACCTACTAGTTCTTATTACATGAAACTGAACAGACAAGTACTTGTCACATCAAACTGAACCTACTAGTACTTGTCACATCAAACTGAACGGACTAGTACTTGTCACATCAAACTGAACTGACTAGCACTTGTCACATCAAACTGAAGCTACTAGTACTTGTCACATCAAACTGAACAGACTAGTACTTGTCACATCAAACTGAACCTACTAGTACTTGTCACATCAAACTGAACAGACTAGCTAGTACCTGTCACATGACATGCAAGCTACTACTACTTGTCACATGAAATGCAAGCTACTAGGACTTGCACATGACATGCAAGCTACTAGTACTTGTCACATGACATGCAAGTCACTAGTACTTGTCACATGACATGCAAGCTACTAGGACTTGTCACATGACATGCAAGCTACTAGTACTTGTCACATGACATGCAAGCTACTAGTACTTGTCACATGACATGCAAGTCACTAGTACTTGTCACATGACATGCAAGCTACTAGTACTTGTCACATGACATGCAAGCTACTAGTACTTGTCACATGACATGCAAGCTACTGGTACTTGTCACATGAAATGCAAGCTACTAGTACTTGTCACATGACATGCAAGCTACTACTACTTGTCACATGACATGCAAGCTACTAGTACTTGTCACATGACATGCAAGCTACTGGTACTTGTCACATGAAATGTAAGCTACTAGTACTTGTCACATGACATGTAAGCTACTGGTACTTGTCACATGAAATGTAAGCTACTGGTACTTGTCACATGAAATGCAAGCTACTGGTACTTTTCACATGAAATGCAAGCTACTAGTACTGGTCTTAAAGGCACCCAATGGCCTGGCCCCTGTATACATCCAGGAGCTCATCACTCCCTACCATCCTACATGGACACTACAATACATGTCTACATACAGAAGTATTTTGATGATTTTGGAACTGTTTGATAACCAAGGCAATTAAGACATTTTCTTAATTTTCTTCCAGAAAAACAAAGAAATTCAGAAAAACAGTAATTGTGAATTGAAAATACATCAATCCATGGTCCTTACCTGGGTTGACTTCTCGGTAGCTGGCAATGCCATAGGCATCTACAATGTTCTGGAAGCCCTTGGTGAACTTGTTAGTACGGAAGAAGGTGGGTGGGGTCTCGCGGGTCTTCATTGGGTGGATGATTGTAGGGATTGTACTCCCACTAGTTTTCTGAAGAACAACAACCAGCATCATTCACCAAAAACCTCCACACATCATTCACCACACACCTCCACACATCATTCACCACACACCTCCACACATCATTCACCACACACCTCCACACATCATTCACCATTCACAACTCCACACATCATTCACCATACACATCTCCACACTTCATTCACCATACACATCTCCACACTTCATTCACCATTCACAACCCCACACACTATTAACAACACACAACTCCACACTTCATTCATCACATACAACTTCACACCTCATTCACCACACATCATTCACCATTCACAACTCCACACCTCATTCACCACACATCCCCACTCTTCATTCACCATTCACAACTCCACACTTCATTCACAACTCCACACCTCATTCACCACACATCATTCACCATTCACAACTCCACACCTCATTCACCACACATCTCCACACTTCATTCACCATTCACAACTCCACACATCATTCACCATTCACAACTCCACACATCATTCACCATTCACAACTCCACACATCATTCACCACACACAACTCGAAATACACAACAACACAGCCGTACACACCTCTCCTTGTTTGAGAGCCATCTGCACATCTTCCAGAGCCCTGACTGGACACCAGCCCTCAGCGATGAGGGAGTTGTGTGACACGTCAAAGTTGAACATGTTGAGGGTGTGGTAGATGGCCTTGATCTTTTCCACCTTGATGATCCAGGTTCGAACCTCCTTCTGCGCCCCAACCAGAACACGATGCCGATGGTCCTGAGTCTGGTTCAACACCTGCAAACAACAAGTTGAGATCGACACTTCATGATGGTGCAAACAAACAACCAGTGACACTGCTTACTTTCACCACGAAATCATGTGTGATATCCAAATGTGTGTTGAATGAACAAGGTTGCTATAATAACCTGGCGGGAACAACTCTCAGTCCATTTTAGTATGTCAGACTCTGAGAGGGAAATGGGAATGACCAACTAACAACTAAAGGGAAACACAATTGTCATTGATAAATGAAAATATTTCAAAACCATAAGGAAATGACAGAAACACCATCATGACTGACCATCTTGAGATCCTCGAGCCGAGTGGACACACCCTTCAGCATCTCTTCCCTCTCCTGGGGCGAGTCTGGGCAGGGGTACAGTGCTGCCTTGAACCTACACACAACATACAGAGGTCATGCTATACAAGATGTTGGAGTTAATAATGATATATATGCGAGACGGGTTTGACATTCATTCTAGAAATACTTCTTATCACTATTCCCCGCCATGGGGCACATTAGAATTTTGTTTGTTCATATAGTAGTGAATATAAACTATGAAAAGTCCTATAAAGCCTTAAGAAGAGATAGGCACTAGGGTCACTTAACGTCATCAGAAAAAAAATTGAATATGAACTTAATACACACAAAAGGCCTCTTTTCTGGATATCGCCGCGAATAGCTGCAAAATTGCTGATGCGGCGTTAAGCAATATTCACTCACTCACTCTTTTCTGGATAAAATAATTTATGGCACCGATTCCCGAACTCGGTCTCGATTAAGTATCTTTTAGATAAGCTTCAATAGTTTCTGCGAAAACTTGTCCCCATTGCTGACACTGCTGCACTTTGTAAACTAACATGGATGAGGGCCCAACTGTGTATGCTCAAAATCTAAAAACATGTAGCAAGGGAAGTAACTCTGGAAAATAATAATATTCAAACTCAGTCTTGACAAATATCTCTTAGATAAACATTCAAATTTTCTGGGAAACTTGTCCCCATTGCAGACACCAGACAAGTTGACCAGCATAGAGCAAGGGCCATAACTCTGTTTGTTTCTTTGTTGTTTAATGCTGCAGACAGATGACACAGGGGACATGTTACACGCACCCTTCACAGATCTTCTTCACTCTGGCCTTGAGTTGCTCTCCTTGGAAAAAGATGATGAAGACACTCTTGAAGACGGGATCCCCCTGGGGATACAGCATCGATTGTTGGTACATTCAGGGTGAACGAGGAAGAATTACACCAGTTACAGGACAGTGATTAAAGGGGAGAACAAGTGAGTATGTTTTAGTGCGGCTTTTATCTTGTCATGTCTTGGGTTAAAAAAAATGGGCTTCACACACTACATCAATGTAAAAATTGAGACATGAATATTGTGTCTGAAGACCAAGTCTAGTAAAATTATGATCGGTCTACTATAGTAAGCTCAGCTAATAGTCCATATTATAACACTAAAATCTACTGATAATGATGCTAGTAGACTCAAAAGTTTAACTAAGATTGTGCTTGTAGCAATATTCCAGCTATATCACAATGGGGGATACCAACATTTTTACTACTACCCTACTCACCCATCTCTGATCCTGATATAGCTATTGACTCACAAATACAGTTAATTCAGCTTCAGAGTCTGGACCATGATTCCCTAGTAACTTGCATCAGTAATACCATCTACATCTATATTCAGTTATCTACACATGTTACTGTGCATCTGAAAAAAGTATTGATAGGACGCAAACATATTCTCTCCCTCCCTCATCTAAATTACAACACAAAATATTTTCGTAACAAACCAAATAATCAAATCAGGAAATTCCTTACAGTAACAGGATCCTCCATTGGTTGTTGGATTTCTTCATATCGTAGGAAGACGTTACCACGACAGGCAAACCACAGCATCCTCTCAAAGGCAGGCAACTTCTCCCTTGGGATGCAGCCTGCCAGGAATCTAGGGGACAGAATCATAATGTTACCATGGTTAGCCATGTGTGCATTAATCAGGAAGGCTACCCCAGTCATGTGATCTCTGTCATCATGATAGACTTTAAGACAGCTCAATAAGTAAATATTTTTTATGCTGACATCAGCAATACTCCAGTCATACCCTAGCAGCCTGTATATAATTGTGCCTGATCTAGATGAACCAATAGTTGGAAGTATGAGCAATTGAGCAGCAATGAAATTGTTCAGGTATTATGACATTTAATCAACCAGGTCACACATTGTAAGCTGCTGGGACCTGTTCCATAAAGCAATCATAACGCTAAGACGATCGTAACTTCCATACTTTAACAGATTTACACAGTTTTAGCGTTAAGACAGCTTTGTGGACAGGGCCCAGATCCTCCTGCTAAACATGTTATAGTATGGATCTGTTATGACCCAGGATCCCTATCCAGCAGAAATGATAATATTGATATACTGAAACATGTTGTAATGCTTTGGAATACACAGGCCCACTTGCACAAAGCAATCTTAACACTATGACTATAACTCTTATACCTTAACATTCACTGACAGTCCAAGTGCTAAGATTGCTTTGTGCAAGTGGGCCCAGAGGTACAGGGCAACTGTAGAAACTATTTATGGCAAGTAGAATTTGTTCAAACTTACCCCAGTTGTACGGACTGTTGTGGAGCAAAGCCGACCTCATCTTGATTGAGAGCTTGTTGTGCATCATGGACTAGGCTTCCCATCTCATGACGGTGCTGAAGTACACATGGAACCAATGTTAACATGAAACAGTGAGGAAACAGGAACTTACAGAGACCTGCACACTCAATGCTATGAGCAACATTTATACAGTCATTTTACCCCAATAATGAATTAATATCACATGTGTTACATATGTGTTACCCATAATACAATTTGTAGGAATGTCTAGAAACGTATTTGTATCAGTCATATAAATGTTACATCACCAAAGCAAATTACATATTAATGTTTGGGTTTTATGAAGTACAGAGGATGCTATCTCCATTTTTTGCAATGTACTGAAATGATGCCATGTTACAAAGGGGCAATTCTCAAACAATCCACCAAACATTAAACCTAATTAACATATGAAACTCAATGCCCTCTAAAATTAATTACTCTAAACTTACAGCAGAGAAGAAGTTCTGTGTCTTGATCAGGACTTCTCTGAGCTCTGTCAGCTCCAGGAAGTTCCGCTTCAATGCCTCAGCGTTTGTGTTGACCTCCCTTAGCTCACCCTCGATCTTCTCATAGGTGGCCTATATTACACAATGCACACAACACATTGTATACGTGGGATGATTTCATATAAAATGCAACATGAGGCAGTCATTCATGCAGTTCTCATAATAATAGCTGGCAGTATAACATGTCTATCCAGTGACCCATGGATAGCCCTGTCATCTAAAGATGAGTGTGATGTTGGTTTTACAACCACAGGTTCACCTTGTTGTTATACTGCTTGGGGCATGTGCAGAGTTGTGTCCCTTGGGAAAGCCAGAAACCTTTGAATGTGGGTTCGAATACTGATTTGCCCCGATTATGTTTCTAGGTTTGTCAGCACCATACCCGTGCTCGTGGGTTGCACCAAAGTGCAAAACGTTTGAGATCTGCATCATTTCAGGCTTTCCTCCCACATTAAGCACACCGTGATATAACTGGAATACCATTCAAAGCAGCATTAAACCCAACTCACTCACTCACTTGAGACTGATAGTACATACCCCAAGTAACGACCCCTTCATAAACCATGTTATCAGGCTGACATGATGTTAAATATTTCACTGTGTACCCCATATTGTAAAGGTTAAATTTCCCCCTCAATATATGAATAAAACCATACTTGTTGTAAGTAACATGTCTTTCAATGTATTGAAAATTAATTTCGAAATATGCCATCAACACTGACTATGTCATGAATATTCTAAGCAATAGTAGGGATGAGGTTTGAGTCAGCCAGCAGACAATGGCCAGTTCTCACCTCCAGGTCTACCATCTCCTTGGGAGCAGGAGCTTTAGGGTTTTCTCCATAGTCCGGGATCTTCAGCTTCTCCTTCTTGATCTCCTTCTCAATGTATCCTGTGGGGGAAACAGGCCAACATCTAATAAAGTTCAATTTGGAAGCGAAAACTAACTTCCTTCATCCATATGCAGTAAAACTAAGTCTTCATCACAAGTTTTCGAAAGGGTGCATTTTGTATTCTTGTAACATCTGAAATGTTCGACAAGACATATTTATTCAACATGTTCAAAGCAGTTGTTTCTTTCTCCTGTGACAGGGTTATTCAACCATGGCATCCACTTATTCAAAGCAGTCATTTATTCAAGGAATTACGGTAACTCAATCTACTGGAACATCTACTACTATAGCATTGCCAGCTCCAACCTACATTTCTGTATATACTACAGCTGTTATTAATATTAATTACAATTACAGATGTATCACAGTTTATTTGGATGGTGGCTACGATCCAATTGTAAAAAACATCTGTTCTACTTCACATGGATGAATCGTATACCTTGTCAACCAATTGAATGAACATTGGAGTGAATTAGTTACGTTCATTTTTCTGCCTACTAGGGCTGGGATGAGTCCAAATTTACTACCCACCACCCTATTACCCGGCCCTACCCGGATACCCGCTATTGGTCTCAAGAGTTGGGTACAAAATGTCCGAATGGGAATTGTTTTACCGCAGCCCTGGCAAAAACTATTTAGATACATGTATAAAACAATCTGATCAGGTATAATCTGCAGTTGATAGACGCTTTATCCTTACTTGAACATATAAAAGTGAGAACGAATGCCTGCATAGAGAGAAAGAAATGTGAACATTAGCTATACTTGTAGTGTAACCAGTGAGTTTTATTGTTAATGTCTTTAAACAGTACCGGGTCTGGGTAGTCATGTGGGTACCCGGGTCCTACTCAGGACCCACCTGACCCGAGTACCCGAGTTACCCGTCCCAGCCCTACTGCCTACTGCATATGCATGATACTGACACATGCACTTTCACCCATCATATTTGCATCCCATGGTCAAGAAACAGCATGGACCACAAGTTATACCACACACACAATCTGGGTCTGTAAGTTGATGCTCTTTGAAGATGCAGGTTACGTTTTCTAAAATACACACTTTAAAGAACCTCAGACCACCGAAACAATAATACTGTTCATCTAAATCACTGACATAAAAAAACCAAAAAACATTTAAACAAAGACGTATATAGACGTCTGCGATTTAAATCATATTCTTATCATGCTTATCATATCATATGCGTTATATGTTTAAAGAGTGGGGAGGAGGGGTTTATGATGAGCCATGAATAACCTATATACAAACTACTTTCTTGGTTACTTATTTTTGTATAACCCCCTTCTCCAAAGATAATTTGTATCAACCCAAATTGTGACTTTCCTGGGTAATGTATTGAAGTCCACATATGGGACAATATATTTAATAAAAACATATCACACATATCCATTCAAATTGATACTTTTGCAATTTCAAAATACTGCAGACAGGTCCCCACTTTTGACCATAAATATTTTGTTGAAAGGAATATATTGTTGATAGATCATACAACTGGAATAAAAAGACGAATTCAAGCACTGTAAACTGTCACCTGTCATACGATCAGTTCTGATTGGTACACTACTACTGGTGGACACAGTGTGTTGAAGAAGCACCACACTACTAGGGGCGATACTAATAGTTACAAATAGTTTGCCTTTGTATGCAGGGCCATGTACTGTATTGCCAGGATGCCGTTGTACAAAACAATGTAAGCGCTATGACTGTCTTAAGCCTATGTTTAGGTATGGGTGTTACGATCACCTTAACGCTACGACTGTCTTAAGTCTATGTTAAGGTATAGGTGTTTCGATCACCTTAGCGCTACGACTGTTTTAAGTCTATGTTAAGGTATGGGTGTTACGATCACCTTCACGCTACGACTGTCTTAAGCCTATGTTAAGGTATGGGTGTTACGATCACCTTAGCGCTACGACTGTCTTAAGTCTGTGTTAAGGTATGGTGTTATGATCACCTTAGCGCTACGACTGTCTCAAGTCTAAGTTAAGGTATGGGTGTTACGATCACCTTAGCGCTAAGATCACTTTGTACAACGGCACCCAGGGCAATAAACACAGCTGACAGCCACAAGCACTAACACTTTTAGAAGCGACAGTACTTCTCTCAAATGAGGACTGTGACTCTGCACGCTGTCTCAGGTTCATCTCAGTGCTTACATACTCTAAATACTGATGGCTGAATCAGTCAATTCACCTTAGAGATATTAACAAGGTTACGAATGGACCTCCTTCATATTGACTGGGGGCACAACACAGATCTGGTCATCACTTCTGCGTGTACCACTAGTTGTTACATCTTCAGCCTAGACTTACTCAGCTTCCTCTCCATCTCCTCACACCGTCTCACTTCATTGACAAACTTCCTCTGGAAGGCATTCACTCCATGGTTCAACTGGAAATAAAATACTGTATGATAAAAGAAAGCCACTGAATCTACACCTTGTTTAGTGGCATCAAGAAATGTGCAAATTGAAAATATGCAAAATAAATACACAATTAAGAAACATTTTATTGAGAATAACTCACTGGACACTTCCCTCTAAAAAATAACGTTGTCTAATTTCCGACGTCATCATCTTGCGAGTGCAAGATCGTCATGAAATGATGTCATGACAGAACAATGTTTTAGCGTGAAATAAACCATGCTTTGTTCTTTATTGTGCTTTGTGATTTGACCATGAGTAAAAGATTTTTCTGATAAATATTAATGAAATGCAATATATAACCGATGGCAAATGCCATAGTTTTCAAATTTCGGATGGGATACTTGTCAAGAAAAGTATCAATCTCATTAAAATCAGATCTTAGTTCTCGCTACCGCTAAACAAAGATCTAAGGACATCCCATTATGGGTCACGTCAGACCGACCTTGCGCAAACTTTGACCGACCAATGGAAAGACCAATCAGAAGGCAGCTTTCTCCGGCTTTACGGCACTAATTTCAAATTGGCGACTACGCTTCGAAACATATTTTGACAAATTCTCCATTACAAATTTGAAACCTGAACAAAAGAACATTCTGGAATGGCTAATAGATAGTCTAGATTGTATGGATTCGGTCGTTAAACCCGTAACTATCGTTCGGAATACCCTGTGTTAAAGTTTTCGTGGTTGCATGATTAGAAATCACATTCCGACTGTCACTTTCATAATCTGGGAAGTGACACTCTGATTGGTCGGATGAAAGGTCGTTCTGACGTGACCCCAAATGGGATGTCTTCAGATCTTTGTTTAGCGGTAGCAAGAACTAAGGTCTGATTTTAATGAGATTGGAAAAGTATTCATATGCAATTTTGAAAAGTGAAGGTTTCTAGGCTTGAATCTCATAAACAATGTTTTAAACCAATAAGAATACACTCCCAATCATTTCACACTGATTAATGCTTCTTTGAATAGTAGTACAGATATATACCAGCTTAACATAGGAGGAAAGCCTAAAGCAGATTGTAGACATTTACCACTTTGCTGAGACATACAAGCATGGACAGAAGGACTCTAATCAAAATCGAAGATAAGAACCCACTTACGTCTTTGAACTGCATGAGTCCGAGCTCCCCGAGTTCGGAGACGCAGGCGTAAGCTGCCTCTGACTGAAGAAACAGCTGACACAGCGACATCTCCTCGCTGCGGAATATCGTCCCCATCTTGATTCCTTGCTCCACGTGGGATCGCTTCTAAAACTTCACTTGTTACAAACTCCTGAAAATATACAATCATTCTCTTAAATTGTTTGTTTTATACATCATGGATATGATTATCTGAATGTTTCTTATCCGATCCTTTTCTGTGCTCTGAATATCATTTGTATATTCCAAGTCAATCCTTAAGTCATTATAAGCATGATAAACAAGCTCAAGTTAGACATGTACACAATGTACATTATAAGTTAGCAACTGATCTTGATGGTATGTGGTGTGATGTACCCTGCATGTGAGCCTATGTACACCGAGCCATCTGGAATTTGGAATGCATCATCATCAAAAACTGGATGACATCACACATTTCGATGAGAAACAAACAGAACAGGTTTCAGACATACCATATTCGGCGCAATAAGCACCCCGCTCTAATAAGTGTCCACGGCGATTTTTGCTGATATATTGGCTAGTGAACAAGCACAATTTGCATCCCTTCCGATTGATCAATGTACACAAGACTTATTTATTCGGTATAATACGCACACATGTATTATATGAATCCTTATTTATGGGGAATTAAATTCTGAAAAAATATATCTGTTTTACATAAACATTTCAGGCTGTCAGCATAAACAACAAAATTTATCTTTCAACTATGTTTTTTTCCACCAAAATAATATTCTAATAAGAGACCCCTATTTCTAATTTTGAGAGCCCCCTGGGTGCTTATTACATCGAATATGGTATATCATAATCAATTTACTGTAGTGAATGAGTGAGTTAATATTTAACGTCACATCAACCATATTTCAGCCATACCATGACGAGAAGTTATACATTAACAATGATTAAGAATACATTCAACTTACAGTACGTGCTGTAAGCAGGCTGGTAAATATTAATGATTACCTAATATATTCATGGTATCTCTAACTTCATGAATACAATGTATGTCTCATCTTGTGTGAGAAAATGAAATATTTACGGTAACAGCAATATCAGTTGGCAGCATCACATGACAGCATTACTCATACAAATGTTAATGAGCTCAACATCGTATACAGAGTACAGCACTCCGTTTGACAATATTATGTCTGTTTTAATAGACTTAGGCAAGAGAAAGTGTTTAATGGAACAGACTGAATAAATTTCTGATACGCATGATATAACTTCTTGAGTACATAAGGAAACAGAAAATATACACTTGAACATATAAATAAAAATATTACAAAAAAGTAACTTCATATCAAAATATGTTTATTCCTTTTTAAGTATTACCTATCTCAAAATAACATTGAACACACAGTCAAAACAACTTATTTTTCATTTGTCAAAAGGCAGTGAAATGTTTAACAAGATTTAACAGATTAACATAATCATAACAATCATTACATGTGATGAAAACTGTTCCAAGTACAAATTATGGGACTATTCTTCTAAATAACATCTTTGGATAAACTCACATTACTTTTCACACACAAAATCCTTTCTCCTACCTGTGTGTCTGTCAGCCTCCTAGCTATCAACTAATGTCCTTCAATCTCACAAGGTGACCCTGTCATGCAAGGGACTGATCACAGGTGTCTATATCAACATTGCCGGACAGGATCCTAGCATTGCTAAGTCACTGGGTGTCACAATATCTACATGCCTTGTACATACACTACATTGTCAAGGAATAGCATGCTGTCTCCAGTTGTATTAATCCATGAACTGACTGAAATATTAACATGTTTAATGCATGACTTAACAAAACGACTAAGTTCATTGGAAAAAGGCTGAAATTGAATTTTTTGTTGATGATTAAAATTGATTACTTTTATTTGCAAATATTCAATTCCTCCTCACATATATACAAACAATTATTTATAATGGAAAGTTACATTTTACAGGGTTAGTCATGGTTTCTTGAACACAAGCTGGTATTCGAATAAATCAAGAATTTAAATAAAGTAATATATCAAACATCATATGTTTTAGATGTGGCACCTGTTGCCTGGCAAGAATGACTTCGTTATCAGAATCTACATTCCAACAACTCTAAGTATAATACAGAGAAAAAGAATTAAGGCCAAAATAAATAAACTGTTATATTTTCATCCAATTAGTTAACATGTTTAAAAAATGTGAGATATGTGGAATATTTTAAATTTTTATATTTTTTTTAAAAACAACTGTCCAATGTCCAAGGCATGTCATGATATTATCTGTCAACAAAAGTGATTTATATGAAACACAGATGCCAACATTTCCCTGATTCACGGAGAGGAGATGCCGCATTCAAGGCATTCGGCTGACAAATTCTGGACATTTGTGAGTGCACAGACTTGTGTATAGGGCCTGGTATTTATTGCTGTTGCCACACATTTGACCGACTGTATTACCTTTTATGAAACCTAATCCTGTGAGTTTCAATAACATTTGTTTATTATTTATTGATCTCCTGTAGTTATTTCTGATTTCACAATGTCGTTCTGTACCGATTCTCTGGGTTAACCATCATCATGATCATGTTTCAACTCGGGAATCAACTCATAACAATGTCTATGTTGTGTATTTCATCGCGTAAAAAGGTGCTAGTGTGTGAGTTTCAATGCCACTTTGAACACTGTTTGAGTCAACTTGAGGTGAACTTATTCTCTATTCTTAGTTCAAGGTTTTACAAGGAAATGTTCACGTAATCTGAAACATAAGAATGTGGGCGGCTGGGCGTACATTCTTGCAATAAACCACTCATCATACACCTACGGATCTGACTGACTGTGTGAGATATTATAGATCGCCTGGCTAGTGCGAGTACCATGCAGGTGTCACCATGCATATACCATTTACTTACTATATTCCAGTATTGATTATATATACAAGCTGTCATCACTTATATATAGATACATAGATATACGATTGTATACACAAGGATTCCTCAAAGTAATCATTAGTATTTGGCTAGTGCATTCTGAATATTATTCTGTGTTTACAGTTTCATACATTGGGAGAGTTAATAGAAGATTTGACCATTATTGTCAGTTCAGAATTCCCTCCCATAGGGGTGAGGTGAAATGGGGTTTAATGTTTCATCCAAGATTATTGCACTTATATAGCAATGTGCATGCATGCATGTGTGTGTGTGACTGCTTGTCCTAGTCCAGACTGATGCCGCTTTTTATAGTGCTGGCCCACTGAGGTACCATGACGCAGTTTAACATGAATACCCCACTCAGACACAGTATACTGACACCAAGCCGACCAGTCCTTGTTTTACTCCCTTAATGCCGAGCGCCAGACAGGGTAACAACAAGTTCCATATTTTAAAGTCTTTTGGTATGACGTGGCCGGGGATCGAACCTCGGACCTTCCACTTTCTGAGCGGAAGCTCTACCACTAGACCATGGAGGCGGTCACCTCCCATAGGGATTCAAGGCTAGAAGCAGTCCCCAGCAACCCAATGCATGGGGCAAGAGGTGATAATGTATAGGATGGTCCCACTCGATGACTTGGTTGATAGCGTGTCATTGTATCCAACACAGGGTTCATTGCTCATAATAACATACACTAGATTGTCTGGTCCAGATCCAGAATTTTGAAAAAAAGGAAGGGCACATAATACCTTAATCATAAGGTGACTTGACTGAGGGCGAGGTTAACATGTTAGGTGTCTGACAAAATGGGGGGCACCCATGCACCCCAACAAACACCACCTTCTCTGGATCCGCCAGTGAAACTACAAGCACACGCACAGTTCAGCATTTAAATGCCTTGATAATAAAAGGTACTCATGGTGGCTAGCAGAAAAAGATGCGAACACTTTCGTTCAATGAAATCCTAAAGAACAGGCATGGTGCTGACAGACCAACTGCCTCAAATCTGGGATTCATACCAATAACAACTAAGGGACGTAACTCTGCACAGGGAACTTACAGTGTTGAAGACTACTGAGCCTTCAAGGATCGGATCACACTTCTGATTTCTAGGACAGAAGACTTACTGCATGGCACTTCATGCGAGTTGTTGACAAACCAGCCACATCTTCATCCCACAACAGCTGCCATTCTGTGTGAGCCACCCACCACCTCAATCCCATCCTATGATTATTGGCTTCCTATGATATACACTTCTACATATCGAATTCATAGTCTAAGCATGAAACATGATATATTCAATTCCTGCTCAATCGTACATAACACAACACGCCTGTCCATATTCAGCAGATTCCATTGATTATGAGGACTTAGTCTCTAAAAATGATAAACATACTCCAACTGTTAAGATGCTTAAGAAAAGCTGTTGTCAGTTGCTGATACTGCCAAATTTATCGTTGATGCCCTTTCCCATGCCTTATGTCTCCAATGAGTGGCCATAGTAGCTGAGTTACAACATATCTCAGTCATATAAAGACGAGGCCATGTCACACAACATGACAGAACCTGTCAACATGGTAAAACATTCAGAAAACTATCACATTATTTGAACTAAAAATGAACTAGATCGAATGTGAAACGGGATTACTAAATACCAGTGAGCAACCAGGCTATAGACAACCAACAACCAAGTCATAACACTGTCTATTGACCACAAGAAACCAGAGACTCATAGGGGCTTAAAGTCAACAAAACATTATGTATGAAAATCTTCCTTCCCCAGTATATGATTACAATGATACACATTTAAACAAGCTATGACGCTGAAGAAAGGAAATCAGTCTTGACACCAGTCCTAACTAACAGGCATCAATGCATAATCTCCCTGTGGTCACAGCAATGGCTGTGTCCCATGCACTGACTGTCAACTTAACACTGGTGATAGACAACAGCGGAGGCCCATAATTACTCATGCACTGTGTGACTGTAGTGTACATGAACCTGGTTGCTATTAACTAGTTGGTGGCATCAATGTGCCCAATGTCAGTGTTAGATGCAGCTGTCACTCAGTCTCATTAAAGCCAGATTTTTCACTATGACTCAATGCCAGTCTCCCACTTACAAACTCAACATAGGGGATCATAGACTTCCACAAGTCTCTGAGGCAATAATTATTAGTTTAAATCATAAGTTCTAGATTATGTTAGTAATAAGAACAAATTGTCCCTAAAAGAGACTTTAGTCCTGTCCACATATTTAGACTTGCCTATTAGGAGGATAGAATTACTACACATCCATGGACTTTTCTTTCAATACAGCCTTGGAGCAAGGCTAGGGAGGTCATAACAGGTTAACATCAAAACATCAGTCACAGTTTTGTGAATAAATGTTGAAACATTTTCACTGATTTTTACTGACACAAGTTTAGCTCTTATCTATTGTTTGGCTTATTTTGGATCATTTTCTGATCATTTTCACACAATACAAATAATATCATTCTGGTCCCTGAAACACAGACAATTGAAAGCCCCTGAACAATAATATCCACAAATTTAGTTCAAGAAACTCAGAGCATTGAAAAAGACTTATTGTTCTCTTAATCATGTTTATAGACATAAGAATTCAACTACAAACCTCCCAAGCTAATGTACAGTAGACATGATTCTCATTTACATATCTGGTAACACATTATCCTTGGAGCCTTGGGCCATATAGTGTTCACACAATAGACATGCATAATCACACACCTTGGACATTTTAGCATGGCAACATTTGGCCTTCACGTGTTTAAGGTGCAAACACTCTCAGTGAAAATCCTTACAAGCACATGAACATTATGAAAACACAATGAGCTCAGTGTATTTCCAGTAGCTAGTTCAATCACAGTGTACTATTGTAACAAATACCCTTATAGATTTCTCTCACATTTCTTTCACAATATCAGTTCCATTGTCACCTAGCCGTGACTCCACTGTTTGTGAATCAAACAAAGTAAATTCAATTTCCTGGAAATTCAAAGTATACAAGAATATGTTTTGGCGTAGCTTGAAAAACAAGATATAATTTGTTTTAGCCAATTTTTAACACCAAAAGTCTATTGACCTCTGAGTCTTTTCAGTATTTTGAAAGCGTAATAAGAAAAGTTCACTGAGTTGTACCCATATAGCAACCCATGCTTGCCGTTACAGGCGACTATGCTTGTCGTGAGTGGCGACTAACGGGATCGGGTGGTCAGGCTCACTGACTTGGTTGAAGCATGTCATCGCTCCCAATTGCTAGGATCGATGCTCATTATATCTAGCACTTGATTGTTTGGCCCAGACTCGATTATTTACAGACCGTCATCATATAGCTGGAATATTGCAGAGTGCAGCGTAAAACACCAAACCAACCAACCAACCAACCAACCAACCAACCAACCAACCAACATTCTTGGTATTTCAACATGTTAGAGATGTTAAACATGATCTCAATTTATTGCTCATAACTAACTATGACTCATGGACTAAAGGAAAAAAACCACAAAAACAACTCTACACTTGCTTCATTTGGGGCTTTTGCATTACAGAGAGGGTTGGCGAAAGGGAAAATAATGTGGTTCAGGCACTGTGAGACAGACTATATTATGAGCAACGATTCACATCATCAGGGTATGATGACACGCAATCACAGGGATTGATCCATGATTATAAAGTGTACCTGGCAAGCAGATTGGTGGAAAAATTGTAACTTTGTTCAAAATTAGGATTTTTTTAAAGTTCTTATTTTCTTAAATTCATAAAACTAAGCATTAAAACATCTTTCTATTTATTGGTCCTGTTATCAGTGAAATACACTGGTTACCTCTACAAAGCCACAAAATTAGTTACTAGTCATATATATTAACATTAATTGGGAAATTTATAATGCCATTTGCTGCAGACTTAGGGCAAAATATCAGCCCTCTAAGCAGGTCTAGATAAATCAATCAAGTCTCCAAGGCCTATCACCCAAATCATTAAATCCCCTCTTCCGACACAGTCACGTCATGAAGCATCCATTGGATTTTGTAAGTGGGGAAGGCGAGGGCCACAAAACTATTTATTTCACTGAGCTGTAAACACCATCAAACAATCTATTCATTTTTACTATTAACATGATTAACACACAAAAAATGACGTTAACATATTTCCAACAATAAAAACTACTTATATTTTTAACAATGCCAACAATCAGTTCATTTCGGGCATACTTCTGAATTAACTATTCGCTTAAAAACTCTTCCTACTCCCATGAGTTATCAAAAGGATGCTCCCTTGTAAAGATAAAACTGTCAATTTCTTTGCTATCAGTAACAGTCTTTCTGAAGGGTGCTCATATGAATACACACATCAGAAAGTTAACAAGAATGTCTCACGTAGCTTGAAAATAACAGACTACTTACTGACACTGAACCACAGGGAAACTATGTACTCTTGTACAGGTCAAACAGACTCCCTGTGTGACACATTCCACACCTTGCTTTTAATATTCATACCATATCTGCCGTATACATGGTATAAGCACCCACTGACTAATTTCTACACCAATCTGTAGGTAATGTTTTTAAGCACACCAATATAAAACCCAAACTCTGCGTAACAGCAGGGATGGAAGTTATCCAAGAACATCAACTAGCATCAATAGTGATAACATATAGCAAATACATTGTATCCCACAAAATGTTTGAAATTCTCCTAGCCCTTAGGATACCGTTAACAGTACAAAAAATGGTCCAGTGGCTGCAGGCTAGCGCTAATTTCGTTTCCTGTAACAGTCCATATTTTCAGCAAACAGCAGTGCAGAATGGGTATATCTGCATAGTAACTTGCAACATTGTAGTCTCATAGACTTTCTAATAAGTGTGATCAAGAACGCTTGATCTCTGAAAAGAAATTTAATTCATCATAAATGGTTTCAATACGCACCCCCTTTGCTAATTTTCTAAGCACTCTATGTGCTTAATATGTCAAAAGGTATCAAGTACTTTTTAATGAAATAAACTCACCGAAAGTCAGCCAAGGTGAAACTCAGTATGTGCTCCTGCACTGATCAGACTCAGTCAGTATCTATCCCTGATACATTCCACGCCCTGCCCTATTGATATCCAGCTAATTTCTAATGAGATTACCTCAATTAGTCAGCAGTACCACCCTGGGCTAGGTGTGACGATTGATCTCACTTCACAACAACCTGCTACTCCTCTTCCTGTTTTACCAGTGCGTGGCCACCAGCTAGTGTCCCTGGAGCACAATACAGTTATATGCCTGGAGACTGGTCATGGTCTAATGCCTACTTTCACTTGTAATTGTCACTCCAGATGTCCTGTTACATAATTGTACCGGAAAAGTGAGAAACTGCTTTGTGGAAAGAAAAGGACTTAACACTTATTCTATGAAAATATATAATTTTGATAGAATCAAAAAACGCCATTTAAATTGAAAAGGAGCCCCAGTGAACCTGAGGAAAATCTAGACTTGCTTCATTTAGGGCTTTTGCATTACAGAAAGAGCTGGGTGGAAGGGGAAAAAATGGTTCAGGGTCTATGAGACAAACTAAGGAGTAACTTGTAGCCAGGGTTCAACACAGAATGGGTGGGGTGTCAGAGGATTTTGCTGCACAAATGTACTGAAAGTAATTACCTTCCCTTTTAGATTGTCATATTTTGGGGTTACCCTCCCACACAAAGAGCTGTGAGGAATGGAAAATAATGGTTCAGGGGCTATGAGACAGACCAAAAGAAAATTAAAATAAATGACCGGTTCCTAATACAGATAATATTTGGTGCATGTCACAATGAACCTATACCATGTTTACATTCCCAGCACATCGCTGGTGCCACACAGTGGTGATTGTATGAAACTGACTGACAATCATTGTGGGTCATAATTCAGGGCATACGATTATTTATAATTTCAAATGACAACAGCTGTTTTGTTGAATTATGTTTACATTGCAGCATAAATTGTACCAAATACAAAAGCAACCTTTCAGTCTGCTAACTTTCTATCTACATATAGCATTGGGGGGCGTCATCACTCCTAAGGCTTATTATAATATCTGCATAATAGCCTGTTAGCCTGAAAAGAGAGTTACATTTCTTCTATTTTAAACCAGAGTATTTTATTTCTCATATAACCCAGATTATTTATTTCTAATGTGAAGCAAGAGTAACCAATTTCTAGGGTTCGTAACTAACACAAATCTGCTAGTCCAAGACTAGTAAAATTCAGGAAGGACTAGTAATAATTCCTTGTGGACTATCTGCCAATTTTGTGGACTAGTTTAAATATATATTAATTCCCTACTCTGATTTTTCATACAAAGCCAGAGTTAGTTGGATTGATGTGTTACAGTGATTACAAGGACAGGTATCGGGGCAAATCTGAGGTTCAAACACATGACATCAGTATAAAGAAGTGAGATAGTGAGTGTATCACTATTACTGTAGTGTGTCAGCTAAATGTAGGAAACACAAAAGTGCCACATGTCATAGGTATTGACAGTACTGAGAATGGTGTTGCCAGACTTCAGCTTTACAAGAGGAGGAGGACTAATAAAGTAACTATAACTGCTACATCATCACATAATCATTCTGTAAAATCCTGCTGGAACCAAACAAACCTCATCATGCTCATAAGACCATCAGACTAGGGGAACATGTGGTGCAGCAATAAACACTACACCTACATACCAGTATTCCTTAATAAACTCAAACAGTGAAACCAAATATTATCAAATGAACGGCACGCCAAGCAATGATGTTATCTTCCGATACTTAATGCACCATCCCATTGTCAAATTGTGTTATACAATGCTGTAGATTGTACAAGCACATTTAGCAATTTGAGGCCTCGTGACGAGCAATGATAGTCAACCATGGTGACAGGGCAAACCACATCCTGCTATACCTGTGTTATGTATTATAGCTACTTCCTGTTTTTCTTTCAAAGTAAAGATCACAAATGATATTAATCAATTATAATCAGATCTTAGTGCTTGTTACCGCACTACAAAGACCCCAGGACATCCTATTACTGGTCACGTGAGAACGGCCTTTCACCCACTTTGACCTACCTATGGAATGACTAACAAAAAGCCAACATTAACCAATCATAAAGCAGCTTTCTTGACCCTTACAACACTAGCTTTGAACTGTCGACTTCCGTGCCAGACTATGGTTTGATTGAAAATTCAAAAACTGAACGAAAGAAAATTCTGGAATATGCAACTGATAGCAGAGATTGCATGGCAGTCCTTCCCACAGGCAATGGAAAGTCTCTTCCATTTCAAATGTTTATCCCATTAAAGCAAGACGAAGATTTTTATGGAATCAGTTGTATAACGTGATACTTTCGTTCAGAATACCAGTGTTAGCCCTTCAAGACACATTCTGATTGTCTCCCGACACTCAGATTGGTTGAACGATAAACCTGTAATGGGATGTCCCCAGATCTTTGTTTAGCAGAAGTGATAACTAAGATCTAAGTTTATTGACAATGTACATTCATAAGCATTATTTCAGACAAATTGGATATGTTTTTTATCGTTATTAAATATGGCACATTATTATTCCTAACTGTAAACTTGTCCTAACAACCCAAACAATCATAAAGTTCCTCCAGATAGGAACATGAGGAACTGAGTATGACCATATCTTGTCCCATACCCAATATTGCCGTAATCATATCACGTTTCAGTAAGCATGGTCAGCAAGCAGTGTGAAAAAACTTAATTCACTGAGAGAGCTGTATATCATGTATATTGTACCTCAATTTCTATTTCTGAACTTTATCCTGCTTATTACTCTTAGATTTCATGCAAATAATTTTATCCACATGCTAGAGGGATGAAACCTAATACAGTAAACTACGTTTATAACGAATACGCTTATAACAAACTGACGGATATAACCAACTTTTTTTGTTGTCCCAACCATTTGCTATACATGTGATGTATATATGCATATTACGAACTACGGTTATACCGAACAATTAGCGGCCCCTTTCAGTTTGTTATAACCGTAGTTTACTTCACGTTGTATGTAGGGTCAGCAGCAGAAAATATTCTGTCATTTCTGAGGACTCCAAGAAGGAGTTGTTTACCCAGCAACTGCATGAAAGTTTACTTTCACAGTGTCAGCGACTCCAAAGTTCACATCTGAGTTTTATCTATCACCCAGTGAGATGGGGGGTAAACTGACAAGGCTAGTGAACCAAGTCTGTGGTCTAACAACACCTACACAATAAACAAATGACAAACATGATAGTAGTAAATTCAACTTTCACAAACTCATGACGACTAGCAAACAAACCGTAACAATTTCCTGATACACATGTTGCATATATTTGCTTTATTACATTGTGGACACATTTCATTTTGTATTACTTATAAAGAAGGAGAACCTGAAATGTGACTGGCTGCTTTGAATGGTTTATCGTATTTAAAGGATCATGCTATTATATGCTTAGAGATTATCTTATCAAAGTCGTGAGCCTAAATCAATTGACACTGCAGTGTCCACATGTGCAGAAATCAGTGACAAAACTGATAACCATGATAGCAGGTCAAATCATGTGTACTTCAACATGTACAACATGAAAGAGTTTGTTCTTTACTGCCATTTAGCTACTTTGTCTTGAGTGAGTGAGTGAGTATGGTTTTAGCAATATTTCAGCAATATCACGGCGGGGGACACCAGAAATGCACTTTGTCTTGAACATGCACAATCAGTTTGGACCTCCAGAATACCAATTTTCCATGGCCTTTTTTGTTCATTATTCTGACGAAATATGACACAAACACACATCATCATTTAATTTCCAATCCTGACTTTCCTGCATACTGATTTTACCATGCTCCACGCAAAGACATCTATAAAATGTCACAATTTTGTTAGGTCTTAAGGAAAAATTAAGTATGGTCCCTGTCTGTATTTGCACTGTAAGATGTTCAGAGATTGATTCTTTCTATGATTTATTCTAATGAATCATCGTAACTGGTAGTTGAAATGCCAAGGTGACAAAAAAAGTCAGGTTCAGCAGTTTGATGAAGTATTGCTCATTATTGAGACTTAGATAATATTTATCATAGAAAATCATAGACAGTAACGGATACAGTGTTTCTGAGTGGTTTATTTCTTGGGACACTGACTGAATATAACCCAAAATATCCTGAAGAGTTTATTCAAATGTGAATGATATAGAAGAATGTCCTATCAGAATTTGATTATGACACTGTCCTGATGACATTGTCTCCACCAAGAAAACTTATTACTGTCAAACACTTGATAAACCGACAGTACGTTTGTCTTTGGAGACTGGGGCCCCATGGTTAAACATGTGAAACTGTTGCCTCGTTCTACCAGGGCCCCAGGTATGATTCCTCACCGGAGTACAATCAGTACAGTGTGAGAAATCCATCTTTGATACCCACTGCCATGATATGGCTGGAGTAATGCTAAACCCTTCATGATGTTTAATATGAAAGAATATTGCATAAAAAATGAGTTACTTCTAGCAAAAGTACAGCCATGTCTTGGTAGGGATCCTGAGAATTCGTTTCACACATTGGATTCTAGTCTAAAAAGATTTAGTCTCAGAAAAATGTTATCTTATTTACTAATACATGTATATCTACAAAATAAAGTATAGAATCCAAATGGAGCCCAGAACAATGCTTAATTGGGATATAAACATACTGTGAACATGGTGAACTCAATGTAGAGCTAGGTTACTTGTAGATTTAACCGCACTAAATTGAATTTGGAACCGAATGGGCAACGTGAGGTTTGAAATGTTAAATTTAATGCGGTTAAATCTACATGTGACCTAGCTCTACATTGAAAACACAGTAAGTTTATCTCCATTCTACCATGACTAAATAAAATGCGAACTCTTTGATGTCAGCAAATATAATGAGTGAAGCGGCATGGGTTGAGTCCAATGTCCAATGATCTGAATTACAGAATCACCGACAACAGCATGTAAACAAAATATGGCGCTGCATATGCTCAAGCAGTTTGTTTACACTGTAGTACTTCACTCGAACATATGACAGGCTTTGAAAGTCATATATAAGCACGGCTACTTGGTAAGCTAACATGAGCTTGGCATCCCTAAAAAAAAAAATAAGCAAGCCTTATATTGCTGATTGTGACTTAAAAAATATGACGTCACAGTCGTATAAAGAGAAGCGCCAAATACCAAGTTCTCTGTTGTCCCCAAAACTAAAATACATT